CTTATGTTTAATCCTTTTTCAGTTCAATCATTAATGATTTATCAATATAAATGGTGTATAATTCGTTTCCCGAGGCAATAATTTAGCATAGTATAACCACGTTGCACGTTGAAGAAGGCGCTCATTCATAAGCGAATACGTGATCAAAAGATGAAAACTTTTCGAAACTTTTTAGATTCTTACTTTGAGATAGAATGATTAGGGAAAAGGGTTTGTAATTTATCCGGTCAAGAAATAGAAGTGATGGCAGCTCATACGTAAGTAAGCAGGTGAAACTATTTGAAAAGGCATGGGACTAACAAAGGACTCTGCATATACTTCCTTACACAATATACAAAAGCAATATGATTAATTTTAGAGTTGTTTATTCTTCAGTACAAAACAAAACTTTTTCAGACACGGTATTATAACCAAAACCCAGTCCCACTTTCTGCTTCTATTTTATTTGCGTTTTTTCAGTGTATGTGAATATATTCAGGAATGAAATTGTTTAAATACGGTACACGCAAATATGTATGAAAGAAGATTTTGAGTAATTTGAATGAAAAGAAGAAGATTTACAAAACACGTTCGTGAAGCCAACAAATAAAGACACATAGGAGGTCAGGAATGATTGTCTTAGTAGCATAAATTATTTCCAATAAATAGAGATATTGGTTTAATTAAGAATTATGCATAAATATCAGTGAAACTCTTCAAAAATCAGCAAGAAACGCGCTCCCGCATTAGAATACGAAACAGATGAATTTCTATTTTGTAATCATTAGGTTTGTCTAACTTAACTACATAGCGCATTAAGACAGAAAACAATTTATAGCGTTAAATCTCATGTTCCTATACAAATGAACATTGTAACAGTCTTAATTTGAGTAGTTAAAAATTGATGATTGATATTTTGACTGCAAGTTAAAGATGAGAAAACATATGATCTTTTCTACTCTGCTTCCCTTCCCAAAGCTTGTTAGTTACATAATACTTCGATTGAATATGAACATTCTATAATTTAGAGTTTTGCTAAGGTGATTGCCTTTGTTTTGCATCGGTAAACATAATATAATAAAATACCAGCCAGTACAAAAAAAATCCAATTAAAAGAGGACATAATACCAAAAGATGGAATGAAATATGATATCAAAGATGATAGAAAGGATTGCTTGTGAGGAGAAAGAACAGTCTGATACGTAGAAAGGGCATTTACTTGATTAATAAAATCCATCAAATTACGTCTGTCTGATTCTACTATATTTTGTTTGAACAAAGTCATATTTTCGGTCATATACTTATGAACGTTCAAAACAGATATATTATCGGCAAGTACTCCACTGTTATACAAAATAACTAGTGTAGACATGTTTGAAGGTAGAGGTTGACCTGTTAAAGTGAAGCCAGGACACTCAATTGTGTAACCATCGGTTACATTCACTAGAGAAACACGCGGAAGTATTATTTCTTCACTAGTATTCCATGTTTTAATATTGCCATTTTGATACTCAGTTCTTGATATTTTCGTACAATGTATGGGCTCCGATGACGAAGCAATCCATACATTTCCTCTTAACTGCCGCACAAAATATTTTGGAGCAGGGATTGACGTAGTCTGACACATAGATAGAGGAAGCTTTCTTAAAATCTGATCGAGGCAAGTGTTTCTGGGTGTCTGATGAAAAGGTGGGGTATCGCGACATGATGTCATAAATCGAAAATCACATTCAGATTCATGCGGGTTTTGCCATTCAATGGTAAAATTATTTATGGGATTAATCGCCCAATATGTTGGAACTTCACCTAGCTGAAATGCTTCATTTCCATGAATGAGGGGAGTTTTCACTATTTTGTAAACATTGAAAGGTGTTTGTTCCCGTTGTGGAACAGCGAAGAAGCTTGTAATTACAAGGCGACCAATTTCTTGTTGCTCAGTGGGTGAGTATAATGAACTAGGAACGAAGTCTATCTGCTGACGAACAATAAGTTTAGTGATTATTTGAACAACTGGAATAAAACCAAGATAAGAGTTAAATGTTAGATTTCCTTCTTTAATAACATAATACACCACTTTGTGTATATCATCTGGTGACAAGAAAGATAAGGTGAGTTCATCACGAGAAATTTGACTTATTGCTGAGTAAAGGAAGGATTTTTGAAACTGAATTTTTAAGTTCTCAACATCAGTTTTAAGAGAATTTATGGCAACAGAGTGTGAGTTTATGACAGGCATTAAATCATTCAGAGCTTTCTGTGACACTTGAAGCTGATCTGTGAGTTCTATCTGCTTTTCAGTCACTTTCACTAATTGTCCTTGGTGTATATCAACCATTTTAGAGAATTTTGTCAGAGATCCTTCTACTAATGTTATTTGTTCTTGCAGATGTGAGGATTGCGCAGTATTGAAAGTAGACATACCAAGACTGGCGCCCCCAACAATCAGACTGATGACAGAGATAACTATGTTAACGTATCGTTTATTTCTTGTTGTTGTTGTAATATTACAAGATGGAATGAGTTCTGCAGCTGACAAAGGTAGAAAGTGGCATGTAGTTGTAGTCATCGGGAAAATCGCCGACTTATGAATGATTGTTTCAGCTGGTGTATAGATACCAGTATAGTCAAGAAAAAGACCTGTTTCTGGATGAGCAACTATTGTATTTCTCGAAATAGTACCATTGGAGTACGCGTCAAGATACAAAGTGTATACAGTAAGAACACATAAGACGACCAACATATGATTCTGCATGCCTGATGCTGATTTTACAAGCTCGTGATATTTCTTGTTAACTTTATATGATTTGGACTGTGTATATGAAGAAGTTAAGATAGTTTTCTAGATTATCTACAACGAGTGAGAATAATAAAGACTTTTTTGTTCAAAAAGAATAATTAAATGTTAATCTGTTATAATCTACTTCTCTTTGTATATATTAAAAAACAAAATTCAAAGATAATTCACACAAGAAGTTTAAAGATCATAATAATTAACATCTTCAAAATGAAGACATAATAGTTTTTGGGCTGTGTACCGAGCAATTCTCAACGTGCAAAACAAAAACTTGAACGACAGAATAGTCTTTTGGAAACAATAATTCAAGTTGGTTTCCATATAGGAATATATAATGATCTTCTATTGCAATATTTTAGACAGCAATACGTATATACAATATTTAAATTATGTAAAATATTCAGAATAGCGACGTTTTGTTTCTTCGAAAATGGTGGCTAATCTATTTATTTCAGCTGTTTGCCTTTTAGATGGTTTTACTTGCAACGCAGTGATATTAAAATCTTGTAAAATAACTAAATCTGTAAGCTGTTGTACTCGTGAAAGTGGTACGTAAGCCGATGCAACTTCAATAATGCCAGGTGGCATATTCAAATCAATGACTATTTTTGGTAATGTTTGTCCCTGACTTTTATGAGTAGTAATAGAATATGCTGGTACTATTGGTAAACCTCTTCTTTTCACGCTGATAGTACTTTTAAGTTTCTTTTTGTTCAACATTTTGATCACTGGTCCCTTATCTGCATAGAGTTTTTCGAGGTTAATCTCGAAGGTCTTATCTATTACCGGGATAGGAATGATAAGAGGATCAAGTAATTCTAACTTATTCACTTTTGCTTTTGGTATTTCTATCAACGCGTATTGAGCATTACGCACAAAAATGGTATCATCGGTAAAGATTCCTTCATCGAAATGTGTACTCTCTTGCGTTTCTTCGTTATAAACCAATTCTCGAAAGATGCCTTGAGTTCCATTCGATAGGCCAAGCTCGCAAGCAATGTTTTCCTGCAAGAGTACGGGCATACCGGATACGAGAGGAAGGTAGCCAGATAGATGCTCTGTTTTGTTATCAGGCAAAGCAAGCAATCGTTTTGTCAGATCAGGAATATCGATATGTTTTTTGGCTTTAATGGTATCTGTAGCAATTAAAACAGTTGGTGATCGACCTATCTCATATGCTTTGTTTATGACCGCTCGATTGTTTAGTTCTGTACGAAGTTAATTTCGATAAACAAGAAGCGGAGCCTGTAATTTAGAAATCTCGCATAATAATGATTAGCTATTTGAAACTGGTTTTTTTCAAAAATGATTGTGATTGAAAGGTAAAATAGCTGACAGCTTCATATTTCTATTATAAGAGTGTCTTTCTTATTCAAGAGTGCATAAGACAATGTTCAACGGAAATATTATTAGTTTCTATGGATAACAATCACCTCCATCTTGATAATCTCTCACGCAGCCTCAAAAAATATAGTGAAATAGTTAGATTTTCGATTAGAGAGAGTATTAAAGAGATATTTTCAATGTTGAATTATGTATTCTGAAAGCTATTTGACCTATTACTATACTGTAATTCTAACATACTTCTTTCCACGGTGATTCATCCAGAGAAATATGGAGTCCTATACCAATAACGCGCGTTCGCAGTAAAAGCCAATCTTCACGTGTGCCTTCTCCTTTCCGTACTCTATTTAGTAACGCTTGATAAGCTAAATCTTTTGTTCTCATTTGTTGTTCAAGTACAACAACACAATTGATCTGCAAAATTAGTGCACGAGCACTTTTTTGTTGAATATCATTCTCAGTCGATGGTTTAACATTATTATTCCTATCACTATCCATTATTTGACCAAAATCATGATAAAGAGGTTTATCGAAAACAGGTGAATATTGAATATAGTCGCCGAAAAAAATTATGTTAATGCCACCCATCGCTACCATAGGATCACAATGTTTTGCCGTGGCAACCAACTTATTTAGTCGAGCTAACAAACTAAGCCCAACCATTGACATCTCATCCAAAATAAGGTACTCCACAAAGCGCCAAGTGTTTTCAAGGGTTATTTGTCCAGGTCGATTCATTGTTTTCGATTTAGCTTTTCGATTCCGTCCATCTCCCAGAAATGAATGGATGGTCATGCCTTCTATTTCTGCGGCAGCAACAGATGTTGGAGCAAGTTTCCGAAGTTTATGCGTACGATCCGTCTCAGTGAAATATGCAGTTATTGCACGTATTAGTTGAGATTTACCGGTACCACCACAACCGGGTACACACATGATTAATTGATCTTGTTTATCATCTATAGACATATGAATGATGCGATAATTTAGAAACTTTTTACTATCTAGTTCATCGATGCAACCTGTATTTCTTCTATCCATTCCATCTAAATGACCCGTAACAATCATGAACGCAGCTTTTTGGTTCTTATTAAGTGTGAATTTTTGTGCGATATCCTTTCGACTTGTCTCACTAGGTATAGTAGTTTTTGTTACCGGCAAGGTGTACATAGAATTTAAAAGTTCGTCATTATTATCAGAATTTAGTAATATGCCAGTATCGTAAGCTCCAAACGTTTCATTTTCATCAATATCATTCTGTTCTCTGATATTAGATTCCAAATTTGCAATCATAGAAGCATTTCGTTTTCGTTCCTTTTCATTTTTGATCTGACGTTGCCATTTATTATTTAATAGAATGAGTTCTGTAGTAGCTGGAATTAGAAATCTTTGATCTACATTGGCATGATTACTCTGATTAGTGACGTATGTTAATGATTTCCTTGAGTTTGTGCCTGAATCAATATATGATATAGTTGAAAAAAATACTTATTCTGTATTAAATAATTCTCACGATGAAGATTAGTAAATCGATTGGCTTGATCGACAGCTCGCAGAACTTTTTCAAAATATATATGCTCTGCTTTTCCCCCTGGATCTTTTATAGATGGTATATCAGAGATATCTATATCTTCCAACATATCGAGGATTTCAATATTCTCATCATCACTGTCACTATCATCCCGAGTAGAATAAACCGGAGTGTTCACTACTCCTGTCTGTGCAGCTTCTATCACCTGCTGTAAATGTTCATCTCTGTCACTTTTACACTCTTGCAACAACTGAATATTATCAATAATTCTGCGCGATTCAGGTGTAATTTTTTCATTTCGAATCTGAAATGCTTGCTCCCATGATTGATCTGCATCACATACATCTTGAACTGAACGCCAGGGAAAAAATAGAGTGAGAATCGATCGATAATATCGTTCTTTCGTATCGTCCCGATCCCTACGAGGTATTGCTGGTCCAAGTAAAACAGGAACGATTGGTTTTGCACGTTTTATATTGATATGAGATGAAACTTGTGGATGTCCATCTCGAAAACTTTCTCTTTCGGAAACCGGACGTCCGCGACGTGGAGTTTTTATTTCTCTTTTTTCTATTGTTGATTGAATTTCTAATTGTTTTCGATCTTTTGTATCAATAAGCTTTTTACGATAAAAGCTGATGTAATCGTACAAGCACATATCATCAAGGGATGCCGAACGATATTGGTAGTCTACTCGAGTATTCACATATACATATTTTGTCTTTGTCTCGTCAGGTTGAAGTAAGAATTGTTCTTCAGTTTCTACACAATTTTCTTCAGTTTCTGTATCCGTCGTATCTGTTAAATAAAGAGGTATCACTGCATTAATGATAAGAAAAATATCGAGAACTATCAGGAAAAAATATTTTGAACCGACAATGCATGAAAGTGTTAGTGTTGATGTCAGTTATATCATTCTTTAGAAAAATTTATTAAAAATTACTTTTTGTCTGATTTTGATGTTCAGATCTCGCCTCTATTAATGCTGCCTGTAAATAATTCTCAATACCAATAAGATACAAATTAGCAAACTCATGAGTAGTGTAATGATCAGGCCAGCCCATGAGATACGAAGCTACTTGTACCCCTGATAACTCTTGTTGTGAAGCAAGAGTATTATAACAGCGCAGAACAAGTCTTCTTGATTTTTCTTCGGCATTTAGAGATGCATCAGTACCAAGTTTCTGTTTTTCGAAGGACTTAACAGCTTTTAATACGAGAGAAAATGTATCGTGAAATGAAAGGCTTGACTTTGTCACGTAATCGGTTATGTAATAGACCAATGCTTTAGCATCGCTACCACTAAAGATATACTTTATGTCCATGTTTGATCGACAAGCGCTGATAATATATTCATTAAAATTATTTATAGTTTGGTGAAGTCTTTTCAGTTTAATTTGACCTGATTCAATGTTGATATATGATTCTTCTTCGATCTGTCGAGGCATTTTCAAGCGGCATATCGGATTGTCATTTGTTTTCGAATATTTAAAGCATGTAGCTGTATGGAAGTGTATATTGACACTACTAACTATTCGTATTATATCATTTATGAATTCTAATTCAAAGTTTGGTGTTGATGGCTTTGGAGTAGGCATTATTGATGGAAATAATTTTTTAACATTACATCCAGGTTAGTCTGAACATGAGTCAAACGAAAATCTCACAACATATCATTTGTATTTTTTACTCTGATTAACTACTCCTGTGAGCATCTCATCCGATGTTGGATGAGTATGATCAACGCGATCAGAAATCACACATTGTTGTTGTTCAAGAACTATAAAAGTAATTACGGGAATAAGTCAACTATCGATATAGAGAAAGTGATTTTACTATCACCATCGGCATCATCATTAGTAAAATTACTAAGATCTTGTTTGATAATGTCCTCTAAATAGCTAATAAGACCATTCCGAAATTCCTCATTTTTAACTGATTCTTTCAGTTGTGCGGGTGTTAAATCGTGATCCAGCCACATAAGAATATGTAGATGTAATGAGCCTCGACCTTGGTTTTCTACTGTACCGAAATAAGCTTTAATTGGACCGAGTACACCCTGCTCTACTAGACATTTAAGAATAGATGTGATGAGCACATTGAAATATCGAGCAGTAGCTACAGGATGTGCGGCAACAATCTGAGCACGTTCATAGGTAGATGGAAGTACTTCAGGTACAATTTTATCAAGATCTAGATTAACCCCAGCAAAATAAAGAGCAATGCGACTGTGAAGATCAGAAGGATTAATGGTCANTCATAAAATATCGTTTGGGAGGGATCCTGAGGCTCGAGGTTGACTGGATGACGGGTGAAGGCGCAGGAACGTGACAGAAATGAAGAAAACATTTTAACCGCGCCTGAGAGGAGGGCTACATAGAAGAGTTGATTACGAAAAAGTAAAACCACACTGGGTTGACTGTCGCATACTAAAGGCCAGTAATCCAAAAATACATTCATTCACAAGTTACATACTGGAGAGCAATCTTAAATGCTGAGCTTCCATATATTGAGAGTTTTCGTAGGCCTTTAAGCCTTTTAATTAAGGAGATAGCCTTAAATGTTCGGACGAGGATAATCTTATCCATGAGATGCTGATGGAATGCGAATTAGTTTTCGATACTTTCTAGTAGCACACGTGTAATTATACGATAGATAGGGACAGCTTTGGAGCGGCGAGTTGTGAGTGGCGCCCCTGTGGGGCGCCGACGAACAATGAGCTGCGCCTGGTAATCTAGCTAGTTACAAAAGTATCAACAATCCGACGCGTTCGAATGCGAAATATATACCGAGTTTCATTTGGTTTTACTGAAATTATCTTTCTTTTAGAAAAAGGAGGACATGTTTAAAAGTGCAAATCCATAATAGTCATTTATAGCGAACTTCTACTTTCTGTGAAGAGTAATTGTCAGTCAGGAATATCGAATAATTAAAAGGAACACAAGTGGTATTTTGGTTCTTTTGAAGACTGTGAGGCGAATAAAGATCAGTTTCTGGGGACCCCTTCAAAGGTTATACTTCTGTCTTTTTTTGCATAAAATGCATATAAGACTATTGTATTTTCAGTCAGTGGTTCAGTCGAGGGTATAGCGAGTCTGCCTCGACGAGCGTTACTAGTAATAATACAGGGCATTATTATATTTTTCATTTAAAAAGTAAAAGAAACCAATTAATTCATAAAGATTTTCTAATAAATTATCTTTTAAATCATACGAACTATATTTCATCGCTGATAGAATATAGTTTAGTGGTTTCTGACAATTCCATCGTCTTGAAGAATATAGATAATATGTACCAAGAATATATATTGACATGACAAAATCATAATCAACTGAATCACGTAACAAAAGATGTTTGATTGCATTTTTCGAATAAATAAAAGTATAGTTTTTATTTTCTAAATTTTGATAAGATATTGTTACTGTACTATAGCATTGAGCTAGTTTTTCATGACCAATAGACTGTGAATTATGTAACAATGCTAATGCAATTTTACATTTTGATATTGACATTAAATATTCTTTTTTAAGGTGATAGGCAAAAGCAATTAACACAAAGGTATAACCATATTCATTAGAATCATTTAATAGAAATGTGAGACGTTTTTCATAACAGATAATTGCTTCATTATAATATTGCATTGATGTATACCCACGGAAAATTTTTAAATAGATACCGCTGATAGACGCGGTTTTCTCATGAAGACTGCGGTGAGACCATTGAACACCGCGGTGTCTAAAATAAACCGTGGTTAACCGCGGTACGGCGCACTGCGACGTAGATTTATCACGACAACCTCAAAAGGAACCGCAACAGGATGCACCGTCGAAAATGGCGATTTAGAAAACTGCGATGAGATGTATATTAGTTGCGGTATTTGAGAAGCGCCATCTTTCATGATTTATATTTCGAAAATTTCTCATTGTAGACGGTGGTTTTCAGATTTTTTAAAAAGATTCTGTTATTCTAAAACATTAGTCTTATAATCTTTCTCAATTTTGATCGTATTTTTTACGATGATGATATATGATTTAAATTTTGATCCATAAAATCATAATATCATAGAAAAAAATTGATTCATATTAAGTCTAATTCTTTTTTTCCTCATAAGAATCAAAAGAAGTCATTTTAAAAGTGAAAAAGTAATATTTCTATTCTATATATCTAATCATAATCAGCTTGATATTGGTATTATTACCTTTTATTTTATATGTTAATATGTGATAGATTCAAGTTGAACAAAATCGGCTCGTTTCATACGCTTTATTGATTACTGCTCGATTATTTAGTTCTGTGCGAAGTTCATTTCGATAAACAAGAATTGGAGCCTCAAAATGTTTAGAAAATTCACATAAGAAGCAATAATCCTTCGAAATCAGCTATTCTCCTAAAAAATATCATAATTGAATGGTATATCAACGGATGGCTTTGCTTTTATCCCATAATAGTTTCTATTTTCTTTGAAAGTCTTGACGCCCTTCTCAACATAAATGTTGTTAGTTTTTTGTCGATTATGATTATTCTTCATTCTAGTTATTTATCCCGATCTCAATAGATATGATGAATTAGTTAGATCTCACAACGTATGAAATATTAAAGAGAGCTTGTTGATGTTGAACTGTCTGTTATGAGAACTAGTTCAATAAACGCTAGATAATACATCTAACATACCTCGTTCCATGGCGGCTCATTGAGAGAAATGTGTAGTCCTAGCCCAATAACGCGCGTTCGAAGTAAAAGCCAATCTTGATGTGTGCCCTCGCCTTTCCTCACTCTGTTCAACAATGACTGGTAAGCTAAATCTTTTGTTCTCATTTGTTGTTCAAGTACAACAACACAATTGATCTGTAAAATTAGCGCACGAGCACTTTTTTGCTGAATTTCGTTCTCAGTAGGTAGTTTCGCACTATTATTCATGCTGCTGGCTATCGTTTCACCGAAATCGTGATAAAGAGGTTTATCAAACACAGGTGAGTATTGAATGTAGTCACCAAAAAAGAGTATATTAATGCCACCTATTGGTATCATAGGATCACAGTGTTTTGCCGTTCCAACAAGCTTATTTAGTCGAGCAAGCAAACTCAACCCAACCATTGACATCTCATCCAAAATTATGTATTCCACAAAACGCCATGCATTTTCTAGGGTCATATGTCCAGGTCGGTTCATTGCTTTTGACTTGGTTTTCCGATTTCGCCCATCGCCCAGAAATGAATGAATAGTCATACCTTCAATTTCGGCGGCAGCAATTGATGTTGGTGCAAGTTTTCGAAGTTTATGCGCACGATTTGTCTCTGTAAAGTATGCAGTTATTGCACGTATTAGCTGAGACTTTCCGGTACCACCACAGCCAGGTACATACATAATTAATTGATCTTGTTTATCAACTGTAGATATATGAATGACGCAATTTAGAAATTCTTTGGTCTTTAGTTCATCGATACTACCTCCATTTCTTTTATCCAGCCCATCTAAATGACCCGTAACAATCATGAACGCAGCTTTTTGGTTCTTATTAAGTGTGAATTTTTGTGCTTTATCATTTCGACTGGTCGCACTAGGTATAGTAGTTTCTGTCACAGGCAAAGTGTGCATAGAATTCAAAAGTTCCTCATTATTATGCGAATTTAGTAATATGCCAGTATCGTAAGCTCCAAACGTTTCATTTTCGTCCATATCATTCTGATGTCTGAGATTCATTTCCCCATTAGCAATCATAGAAGCAATTCGTTTCCGTTCCTTTTCATCTTTGATTTGACGTTGCCATTTATTATTCAATAGGATGAGTTCTTTGGTAGCTGGTGTGAGATACTTTCGATCAATACTGATGTGTTTATTCTGTTTAGTGGCATATGTTAGTGATGTTGTCGAACCTAGACCTGAATCAGTGTGTCATATAGCTGAAAATATCACTTTTTATCTGAGATAGTTCTTACGGTGAATATTACCAAATCGATTGGCTTGATCAATAGCTCGTACTACCTTTTCAAAATATACTTTCTCTGCGTTTCCTCCTGATTCTCTGAGAGCTGGAATTTTGGACATATCTATATTTTCCAACATGTCGAGGATTTCAGTATTTTCATTATCGCTGTCACTATCAGCCCGAGTAGGATATACAGGATCGTTTACTATTTCAGTCTGTGCCGCTTCTATAACCCACTGTAAGTGTTCGTCTCGATCATTTTTACATTCTTGCAGTAACTGAATATTATCAATAATTCTGCGCGATTCAGCTGAAATTTTTTCATTTCGAATCTGAAATGCTTGCTCCCACGATTGATCTACATCACATACATCTTGAACTGAACGCCAGGGAAAAAATAGAGTGAGAATCGATCGATAATATCGTTCTTTCGTATCATCACGACCCCTACGAGGTATTGCTGGTCCAAGTAAAACAGGAACGATTGGTTTCACACGTTTGATATTAATATGAGATGAAACTTGTGGATGTCCATCTTGAAAAGTTTCTCTTTCGGAAACCGGTCGTCCGCGACACGAAGCTTTTACTTCTCCGTTTTTCATCTTTGATTGAGTTTCTAATTGTTTTCGATCATTTGTGTCAATGAGCTTTTTACGATAAAAGCAGATGTAATCATACAAACACATCTCATCAAGAGATTCAGAACGATATTGGTAGTCTACTCGAGTATTCACATATACATATTTTGTCTTTGTTTCGTCAGGTTGAAGTAAGAATTGTTCTTCAGTTTCCACATCCATCACATCTGTCAAACAAAGAGATACCACTGTGTATTAATGATAAGAAAAATATCGAGGAATTCCACGAGAGAATATTTTGAACCGACAATGGATGGAAGTATTAGTGTTGAGGTCACTGATATCATTATTTAGGAAAGCTTATGCAAAACTACTTTTTATCTGATTTTATTGTTCAGATCTCGCCTCTATTAATGTTGCCTGTAAATAATTCTCAATACCAATAAGATACAAAAAGTCTCCTTGATTTTTCTTCGGCATTTAGAGATGCATCAGTACCAAGTTTCTGTTTTTCGAAGGACTTAACAGATTTTAATACGAGAGAAAATGTATCGTGAAATGAAAGGCTTGACTTTGTCACGTAATCGGTTATGTAATAGACCAATGCTTTGGCATCGCTACCACTAAAGATATACTTTATGTCCATGTTTGATCGACAAGCACTGATAATATATTCATTAAAATTATTTATAGTTTGGTGAAGTCTTTTCAGTTTAATTTGACCCGATTCAATGTTGATATATGATTTTTCTTCGATCTGTCGAGGCATTTTCAAGCGGCATATCGGATTGTCACTTGTTTTCGAATATTTAAAGCATGTAGCTGTATGGAAGTGTATATTGACACTACTAACTATCCGTATTATGTCTTTTATGAAGTCTAATGCAAAGTTTGGTGTTGATGGCTTTGGAGTCGGCATTACTGATGGAAATAATTTTTTAACATCACATCCAGGTTGATCTGAACATGAGTCGAATGAAAATCTCTCAACTTATCATTTATATTTTATACTTTGATTGACTACTCCTATGGGCATCTCATCCGATGTTGAATGAGTATGGTCAACGCGATCAGAAATCACACATTTTTGTTGTTCAAGAACTACAAAAATAATTACGAGAATAGATCAACTATCGATTTAGAGAAACTGATTTTACTATCACCATCGGCTTCATCGTTAGTAAAATTACTAAGATCTTGTTTGATAATGTCCTCTAAATAGCTAATAAGACCATTCCGAAATTCCTCATTCTTAACTGATTCTTTCAGTTGTGCAGGCGTTAAATCGTGATCCAGCCACATAAGAATATGTAGATGTAATGAGCCTCGACCTTGGTTTTCTACTGTACCGAAATAAGCCTTAATTGGACCGAGTACGCCCTGCTCTACTAGGCATTTAAGAATAGACGTGATGAGCACATTGAAATATCGAGTAGTAGCTACAGGATGTGCGGCAACAATCTGAGCACGTTCATAGGTAGATGGAAGTACTTCAGGTACAATTTTATCAAGATCTAGATCAACTCCAGCAAAATAAAGAGCAATTCGACTGTGAATATCAGAAGGATTAATGGTCATGAAGATACTAGGTAAGCCCTGATTGAATATCAGCGCATGAATTTGAGTACGAAGAGCACTTCGCGAGCAGGCTGAGCCCATAACATTGCCACCCACCGCTCTAATTTGCTTCATCAGCATGTTAATTCGTGGATTCGTAATGGAAGAGAATGTGTTCTTGGTTGCACTTATTAATGCTGCCTCAATTTCTTTTGTTGTCAGTGCCTGAAGATCAGTAGCAGCATCGCGAAAATAAGGGCGTGAAGCCATAAGTGAAGCATTCCAGCATGCCTGGCATCGTTGCAGCACATTAAACATAACAAACAAAAATGAATGATGCTTTTCAAATCGTCGATCTTCATATGCAAGAAGATAACGAATATGCTGATTTAGCGATACTGCAACTGATCTCGATGCATCGTACGGTGCCCCGTATCCATATGGGAAAAGAGTAGGGAATAGGCCAAGAAATAATTCTGCGTTGTAGCAATCTTTAATTGGCATGTGTGATCTGGGAATTATATAAACATCTTCATTCTCTGCATTATCCATGGGTGTATTCTCTATATCCTCATTTAAAGAACTAATTGAAGTGTTTTTAAATTTATGTAGTAGATGTACACTAATATCTTTTGATGTGACAGTTGTTCCATTAACATCAAGTACCGCGCTAAGAAAGTTGGGTACATTAGTTTATCTTTTTATGCATTCTTACCTAACACTCATCGGCAAAATATTCGTTGTATTTGGTTCACCTTGTATGGCAGCATCTGCAAGTGGATCACTAGTGAATCCTGCCCGCTCCGCATTGGCATCAATAGTATTTTCTATTCTCTCAATAGTCGTCCAGATACTTTCTGGGACGTCATCCTCAGGTAGCTTATCAATATGCATTTCGTTAACTGAAAAGATCGATTACATAATGTTACAACAGACAACTATCTATAACTCACTAGGAATCGTCCGATACATGTGATTATGTTGTTTGAGCCATAGAAGAGCCTCACGAATCTTTTGTCTATTTACGCCACAAATTTTACGCAATTCTATTCGATTAGGAACATGTGCTCCGACAAAAACAATTTTCAAGGTATCACAAAGATCATCAACGTTCAAAGGTAAACTTGTAACGATATTTGGCATATCATGCATGAATGTGATTACATTGCCCTTTAGTGCGGATTGTGCAGTCGAATGGTGGTGAAACGGAGATTGTAGCTTAATAACACAGCTACTATGACGGTAGAGAGAAATACTACAATTTGAAAGAGCCATTTATCGTGAACTCTATGATTTCTTATGACAGATAACTACTCACAGCTTTTCCTCTGCAATCGTTAGATGCTGAAGTACTAGTGGAACATCACCAAACCACATCTTATTCGCTACAGAGAACATAGGTACTTTGTTTTTAATTAGTGCATTGTGGCATTCTGGACAAACGTTTCCAGATTTTGTTAATTTACTATATCCCTTTCTGTAAAGCACTGTACTTAATGAAGGAGAATAGATTGAACACGACAGATCATCTATAAACAAAATCTATTTTACACCTATGAACTCAATCTCACAATTAAAGTCTTCACTTTGTGCGATTATTTTATCTGTAATATCTACTAAATCTGGATGAGATGAAAGCTTTTCTAGATTTGGAATATCTTTAACATTATATTGCTTCATTGTACTAGCAGATGATCGAATATTACACACAATACAGGTAGCTTGTCGTAAAACTGACATAGAGGTCGTCTTGCAAAAATCTTCCAAACAATATTTTTTTAAATGTTTTGGAATGGCCGCTGGCCATTTGTAGTTATCAACTAGAACTTGTTGATTTCCTTCGAATACTGCTTGCTCATTCTCTATACTTATTTCTTGATTTTGTTCTACCACCTGTTGGTTTCTTCTCACTAGTGGTCTGACTTCTGAAGTTTATCGTCTAAACGATGGACGAAGAGTTTTTCTTTGCTCTCTTTTAGTCAATCTATTAGTTGCCGATCGTTCTCGCTGTTTGATAAGCCGTACGTTTCGTTGGTCTTCATTTTCACTGGATCTATTTGATACCATTCGTTTGCGATGGACAGCGAGACGTGCGTTTCTCTGATCCTCACTTTCGATCGATTTACTTGATGCCGACCGTTTCTGGTGATAACCTAGACGGACCTTTCGCTGATCTTCATTTCCCCTCTCTCTAGAGATCCGTCTCCGTGTGCGATCCATATTATTTTGTGCTCCTATGTGTTTGCCGTTTTCATTACTTTCCTCACTCAAATGTGATACATGAGTGGTTGGGTATATTGTTTCGTTAGGACCCTTGTGTTTTCTGGTATTTTTAGGAGGTGAAAACTCTGGACTTCGTATCAATGAGGCTCGATTATTTTTGAACGTTGATTTTTGTGGGCTCTGTAAGATTCGTCCTCTATTCATGTATGGATTCCATTCAAATAGTTGTACACATTACCTCTGACATCGAGCTGACTCTTCCGTTACTTGGCATTCTTACACTTCTAGGCTGATGAACAAGTGGAACGAAATGGTTTGGATTCCAAATGCCACAATTTCCAGGACGCGCTCTTGTTGTGATCTCATCTTCGGTACTAGACCAAAAGATGACTATCCTTCCATTAGATGGTACTGATGTATCTGTTGGTTTATAAACTGCATTCATGATTCTCATCTCAGCTCGATAGTCAATGTATGGATATACACTTTGTATATCACATTGCAATATATTAGCCAATGCGACTAGTTCATACAACTCACAAAACATATTATTATTACATATTCTTCGTAGTGCTTCGCTCAATGGGCCAATATGATTGCTGTATTGATTGATATAGTGAGTTTTGTTCTTCACTAGCTCAATTATCGTACGAACTAAACTTATTCAAACAATCTTATTGTGTATATATGTCTGTATGAATATATTCAATTGAGCTTACCTCTCAACTCTATATCAGAGATATTACTATTTGTCATAAGTGATGCAATCGAATGAAACAAACAATTTCCATCAGCAACGGTTATGACAGGAACAAGATGTTGAACAGTTTTGCTTGCTTGTTTGAGATACTCCTGGGCAACAAGATCTATAACCTGCCTTTTATTATCAAATTCTATTGCTGGAACTATGTGCAGAGGTGCCATCAGCTCGTGATCCTGAAATAGCTCGAAATAATCCGTAAAAGCAAAGCGAAACGAATTATCTGTATACCATGGAGAACGTAGCTACGGTATCTGAAATTTGTTGCTCATAATCCTCTGCATTGGATGCTATCGTTAACTGATTTAACAATTTCAAAAATTGTCGAGATCGCTCACACCTTTCGCCACAACTGGGCTGGTTTTGAAGCATGTTCCTCCAACTATGTTGACAAATTTGATTCTTACTCATATTCGTACCGAATATTTCAAAGTGATCTGAAATTATCTCATGAATGTGAGACAGAAACAAAAGCGGACAAATAAGGTATAAAGACACGAATCGAACACAAACGAATGAACATATCAAGTAACTAATCTTTTAGAAAAGTTGAAAATAAATTGTACGCTTATCAGTTAATAAAAAAAGGTTTATCGAGAATATTTAATAACATGAGAAAAAGATTGTCCTGATAAAACTTTACTACTTCGAGTTAGTTATGTATGATCATATTATTTGGTAATTGTCCCTGACAAAGTCCACCAACGTTGCTGATTTCTTTCATCTGAATAATAATCATAATCATTGTCTAAACATGTTAAATTCAGATTGATTTCGCGTAAGCTGCTTTGAATTGTATTCATACAANCCCAGAAATGAATGAATTGTCATACCTTCTATTTCGGCGGCAGCAATCGAGGTTGGCGCAAGTTTTCGAAGTTTATATATACGATTAGTCTCCGTGAAATATGCAGTTATTGCACGTATTAGCTGAGACTTCCCAGTGCCACCACACCCAGGTACACACATAATCAATTGGTCCTGCTTATCAGCTATATATGTGAGTGACGTAATTTACTAACTGTTAGTTTTCTAGTTAATCAATACTACCTTCATTTTTCTTATTCATTCCGTCTAAGTGACCCGTAATGATCATGAACGCAGCTTTTTGGTTCTTATTAAGTGTGAACTGTTGTGCAATATCATTTCGACTAGTCTCACTAGGTATAGTAGTTTTCGTCACTGGCAAAGTGCACATAGTGTCTAAAAGTTCATCATGGCTATCGGAATTTGCTAACATGTCAGCATCGACAACTGCAAACGCTTGATTTTCCTCAGTATCATTCTGATCGCTGAAAGCGTTTTCAATACTTGCTGTCATACAAGCATTTCGTTTGCGTTCCTTTTCGTCTTTGATTTGGCGTTGCCATTTATTATTCAATTGAATAAGTTCAGTAGTAGCTGGTATGAGATATCTCTGATCAACACTGATCTGCTTGCTTTGTTTAGTGGTGTATGGTAACGGTCTAGTCAAGCCTGTACCTGAATCAATATGTGATATAGATAGGAATGACTTATTTTACATCAAACAGTTCTTACGTTGAATATTAGCAAATCGATTGGCTTGATCAACAGCACGTACTACTTTTTCAAAATATATCTGTTCTGCTTTTCCTCCTGGCTCTTTCAAAGTTGGAATTTCCGATATATCCACATTTTCCAACATATCGAGTATTTCTGTATTTTCATCATCGCTGCTACTATCGTTCCGACTAGGATATGTGGGATCATTCACTATTTCGGTTTGTGCAGCTTCAATCACTTGCTGTAAGTGCTCATCTCGATCGTTTTTACACTCTTGTAGCAACTGGATGTTCTCAATAGTTCTGCGTGATTCAAGTGTGATTCTCTCATTTCGGATCTCAAATGCTTGCTCCCACGATTGATCCACATCACATACATCTTGGACTGAGCGCCAAGGAAGAAATAGTGTGAGAATCGATCGACAGTATCGTTCCTTTGTATCTTCGCGATCTCTACGAGGTATTGGTGGTCCAAGTAAAACAGGTACCACTGGTATTGTACGTTTAATATTAATATGAGATGAAGCCTGTGGATGTCCATCTCGGAAAGCTTCCCTTTCCGAAACGGGACGTCCACGGCGTAGGGCTTTCATTTCGTTATTTTCTGCCATTGATTGAGCTTCTAGTTGTTTTCGATCTCTCGTGTCCATAAGTTTTTTACGATAAAGACGGATGTAATCGTACAAACAGATATTATCAAGTGACGAAGAGCGATATTGATAATCTACTCGAGTATTCACATATACGTATTTTGTTTTTGTCTCATCGACCTGAAGCAGAAATTGCTCTTCTGTCTCTAAACAGTTCTCTTCAGTTTCGGTGTCCATCATATCTATCAAACAAAACCATATCGTTACATGAACGAAAAGAATAATATCGAAAAGTATCATATAATATGACCGTTTCAAACGACGATACGTAGAGTCATGAGTATTGGAGTAAGTATGTAAAATAGATGAAAGCTTACTTTCCATCTGACGTTGTTGTTTAGATCGCGCTTCCATCAATGCTGCCTGCAAATAATTCTCAATACCTATCAAGAACAAATTGATAAACTCATGCGTCGTATAGTGATCAGGCCAGCCCATGAGATAAGAAGCTACTTGTGCACCTGATAATTCTTGTTGCGAAGCAAGAGTATTATAACAACGCAAAACAAGTCTGCGTGATTTCTCTTCGACGCTTAGACCTGTGTCAATATTGTGCTTTTGCTTTTCAAAAGATTGAACAGCTTTGAGTACGAGGGAAAATGTGTCATGAAACGAAAGATTGGACTTTGTCACGTAATCCGTAATATAATACACGAGCGCTTTGGCATCGCTCCCACTAAATATGTATTTTATGTCCATATTCGATCGGCAAGCGCTGATGATATATTCATTGAAATTATTAATCGTTTCGTGCAATCGTTTTAATTTAATTTCACCAGATTCAATGTCAATGGTTGATGTGTCCTGGAGTCGTCTAGGCATTCTCATACGACAAGTCTGATTAGCATCTCTTTTCGAATATTTATAACAAGTGGCTGTATGAACATGAATATTTATACTATTCACTAGCTGTATGATATCTTTTTTAAAATACGACACAAAGTTTGACGCCGATGGCTTGGGAGTTGGCATTACTGATGGTACTAACTTCACTGCAGTACTTCTGGGACACTTGGAACCTAAACGGAAAGTATGTATTCAATCTATTCATCACGTTTTTCGTACTCTCATTGGCTGCATCTATAAGGACTTCATTTGACACGGAAATAGTATGACAATCATGGTCTGAAGGCGTAGATTCTTGATCGTCAAATTCTAAGAAACATAATTATTGAAAAGGATCAACTAAATGCTTATAAAAATGATTTTACTATCAGTTTCAGAGCTGTCAACAACAAAGCTGCTAAGATCTTGCTTGATAATATCTTCCAAATAGCTAAGAAGACCGTTGCGAAATTCATCATTTCGAACTGACTCTTTTAACTGCGATGGCGTTAAATCGTGGTCTAACCACATTAGAATGTGTAAATGTAATGATCCTCGGCCTTGGTTTTCAACTGTACCAAAATATGCTTTGATAGGACCAAGCGCCCCCTTTTCCACCATGCACTTCAGAATAGCTGAAATGAGGACATTAAAAGAACGAGCAGCAGCAATAGGATGTGCCGCAATAATTTGAGCACGCTCATAAGTAGATGGAATTGTTTCAGGTAAGATTCTATCAAGATCTAGATCGATGCCAGCAAAATAGAGAGCGATTCGACTATGAATATCAGCCGGATTAATGGTCATGAAGATGCTAGGTAGGCCCTGGTTGAATATGAGACCATGAATTTGATTACGAAGTGCAGTTCGCGAGTAAGCTGAGCCCATAACATGTCCACCGACTGCCCTAATTTGCGTCATAAGCATATTAACCCGTGGGTTTGTGATTGAGGAGAATGTATGTTTTGTTGCAGCAAGTAATGCTGATTCAATTTCTTTAGCTGTCAATGTCTGAAGATCAGTAGCAGCGTCTCGAAAATACGGCCGTGAAGCCATAAGTGAGGCATTCCAACATGCTTGCCGTCGTTGCAATACATTGAACAAGACAAACATGAATGAATGATGCTTCTCAAAACGTTGATCTTCGTATGCAAGAAGATAACGAATGTGCTGATTTAGCGATACTGTAGTTGGCCTCAATGAATCGTACGGTGCACCGTACCCATAGGGGAAAAGAGTAGGAAATAAACCAAGAAATAATTCCGAATTATAGCAGTCTCTAACAGGCATATGAGATCTAGGAATTATATAAACATCTTCATTCTCGACACTATTTGTCGCTGTATCGTGTGAATCGTTAAGTGAACTAGGGAAAGTATTTTTAACTTTATGCAGTAGATGCACGCCAATATCTCTTGATGTGACAGTTGTTCCATTGACATCGAGTACAGCGCTAAGAAATTCAATTAAATTTGTTTATCTCTTTATATATTCGTACCTAGCATTCATTGGATAAGCATTCGTTTCATTTGATTCACCCTGTATAATAGCATCTCCAAGTGGATCGTTAGTAAATTCTGCTCGATCAGCATTGGCGTCGATCGTGTTCTCTATCTTCTCTATAGTTGTCCAGATACTTTCTGGGACATCATCCTCAGGCAACTTAACAATATTTACTTCGTTAACTAAAAAAGTCGATTATAGAATCTTCCAACTGACAATGGTCCATAACGTACTAGGAATCATTCGATACATGTGATTATGCTTTTTTAACCACAAAAGGGCTTCACGAATCCTCTGTCTATTCACACCGCAAACTTTACGCAATTCTATGCGACTAGGAACATGCGCTCCAACAAAGATAATTTTTAAAGTATCACAAAGATCATCAACGTTCAATGGTAGACTTGTGACAATGTTTGGCATGTCATGCATGAATGTGATCACATTACCCCTGAGTGCAGACTGTGCAGTAGAATGGTGACGGAACGGAGATTGCAGTTTAATCACACAGCTACTGTGTCGATATAAAGAGATGCTTTTAAAAATAACAATACAATATCAGTACAAAAATTTCTGCCGAAGGGCAACCACTTACAGGATCTCCTCAGCAATTGTCAATTGCTGCAATACCGATGGCACATCGCCAATCCACATCTTGTTAGCAACGGAAAACATCGGTATTTTGTCTTTCATCAGCGCACTATAGCATTCTTGACAGATGTTGCCAGTTTTTGATGACACATTGTAGCCTTTCTTATAGAAGACTCCGTTCGAAGAAGAACAAAAGACGGAACCTATGTCTTCATATGTGCAAAAAAGAGTTCGTATATGCATTTAAATGCAATCGTATCGTTGAAACTCTCACTTGGTGTAGATTGCGGAGTCCGAATAAGAATATCTATCAAATCGGCATGGCAAGAGAGTCTTTCTAAGTTTGGAATATTTTCAAAATCATATTCTTTCATTGTACTGGCAGATGCCCGAACATTGCAGATCATGCAAATACATTGTCGTAAAACTGACATTGATATATTGTTACAAAAATCTTCCAAACAATATTCCTTTAGGTGCGTAGGAATGGCCGCAGGCCATTTGTATTGATCAATCAAAACTTGGCGATTCTCGTCTAATATTTGTTGCCGATGCTCTCTATTTATACCTTGCTTTCGTTCTTCCGTTCGTTCTTTTTCTCTTACAAACGGTACTACTTCTGAATTCTGTTGTTTAAATGGTAGACATGAAACTCTTTTTTGTCCATTTTTGATTAATCTATTAGCTGCTGATCGCTTCCGCTGATTAACTAGACGTGTGTTTTTTTGGTCGTCGTTTTCACTTGATTTATTTGATACAGATCGTTCTCTCTGCTTAGCTAGACGTGCATTTCGTTGTTCTTCACGTTCGCTAGATCTATTTGATACAGATCGTTTTCGCTGGTAAGCGAGGCGTATGTTTCGCTGATTTTCGCTCTCTGATTCTGAAGCCCTTCGATTTACCATATAATCAGTACTACAGGATAGATATGATTGATCAATATTTTGGCCGTTATTCGAGTGTAAGCCTGACATGAGCGTGGTTTCACCGCTTATTTCGACTGAACTTCTATGCTTTCTGGAATTTTTAGGAGGTGAGAACTCCGGGCTCCGTATCAACGTTGCTCGATTATTTTTAACCGTCGATTTTTGTGGACTCTGTATAAAAATAGTTTTCTGCTTATGTATATATTCTATTCAAATCGTTTTATATTTCACCTTTGGTATCATGCTGACTCGTTCGTTGCTTGGTATTGTTACTCCGCTATGTTGATGTACGAGTGGAACAAAATGGTTTGGACTCCAAATACCGCAATTACCATGGCGTGCTCTTGTCGAGATCTCATCTTCGGTACTGGACCAAAAGATGACTATCCTTCCAGTAAATGGCACTGATGTATCTGTTGGTTTATAAACTGCATTCATGATTCTCATCTCGGCTCGGTAGTCAATATAAGGATATACACTTTGTACTTCACAGTGTAAGACATTAGCTAAAGCAGCAAGTTCATACAACTCACAAAACATATTATTATGACATGTTCTTCGTAGTGCTTCGTTCAAGGGACCGATATGATGGCTATATTGATTGCTATAATGAATCTTATTCTTCACTAACTCAATTATCGTACGAACTAAACTTATTGTAGGAAACCTATTGTGTATATGTCTCTGTATGAATATAATCAATTGGACGTACCCCTTAACTCAACATCAGATATATTACTATCTGTCATAAGAGATACAATCGAATGGAATAAGCAATTCCCGTCAGCAAGAGTCTTTAAAGGAACCAGATGCTGAACAGTTTTGCTAGCTTGTTTAAGGTATTCCTGGGCAACAAGATCTATAGTCTGCCGTTTATTATCAAATTCTATTGCTGGGATTATTTGCAGAGGTGTCATTAATTCTTGATTCTGAAATAACTCGAAATAATTCTTGAAAAGAAAACGAATCGAATTATCTGCATACCATGGAGAACAGTGTTATGGTATCTGAAATTTGTTGTTCATAATCCTCTGCATTGGATGCTATTGTTAACTGGTTCAACAACTTCACAAATCGTTGAGTTCGCTCACATCTTTCGCAACAATGGGACTGGCTATGAAGCATAGTTAAACTATGTTGACAAATTTGATTCTTGCTCAAATTTGTATCGAACATTTCAAAGCGATCTGAAACGATCCCATCAATGTGAAATTGAAAGAAAAGCTGACAACTGATATATAAAGATACAATTGAGACACAAACCAACGGACTCATCAATTAGCTTATTTTCTAGAGAAGTTGCAAAAAATTTTACGTCTGTCGTTTAACGAAGAAGGATTCATCGAAAATATTTACAAGCATAAGAAAAGAGGCAAGTCTTTTATTATTTTCATCTGATTATGAACGATTGCTGTGATGAAAATTTACTACTTCGGGTTAGTTATGTATAATCAAGTTATTTATTAATTATTCCTGACAAAGCCCACCAACGCTGCTGATTTCTTCCATCTGAATAATAATCATAATCATCTTCAATACATGTCAAACGGAGATTGATTTCACGTAAGCTGGTTTGACTCGTGTGAATACAAAAGTAGTCGGTGCCTTTTTCTAATGACAGATTGACGATAATTGTATTAAGAGAAAAACAATACTCAAATAATTTGAGCCAGTTATGATTGATAACAAAACCGTCTGTCTGTACAAAACCATTCAATTTAAGTTTCGTGAGAGAAGGCGTTGCTTTCACAATCTGAATCACCGTTTCAAATGAAATTTCTATTAGTCTTAGACAAATGTAACAAAGTTTTGGAAAAGTAAAGCAGAAATATGAATCTTTGCTATCACCAAGAAGAGTAATATCAAGAGAACGAACGTTGAACAGAATAGAAAGCATGCATGATAATTCAACCCAGGTCATAGGTGAGCATGTGTCCAGACGAAAATATTCAATTTTCGACGGTCTTGCCGATAGACTACGTTTTAGTATTTTTTCTTCCCATTCATTTGCATGAATCGACAAACGATGCAACGACAATAGAGATGTGGCACATTCCAACAGAACGTACAAATAACGAATACCAGGCACGATCAAAACTAATTCATCGAGTTTTATACTGGTAGATGATACTTTTCGAAGCATACTAACAACCCATGTAGGCTGTCCACGAAGTTTTAGTGAACGAACATTTAAACATTCTTCAGTTATGTCGAGATAAAAATCTTGGCGCAATTCGAGCGAGACAATTCGATCGAGTGGGAGTTCTTTTGGAAGAATCTTAACATAAGGATCAATGACAAGTCGTTGTAAGCGCAAATGATGAGCTTTAGCAAATAAAACTTCATCAGCAGCAATAGCTACATGTACGAGGCTGTAAAATAATTCTATAGGATCAAAATACTCAAATATCTGTTGCCAAATATCTGGACATAGTTCCGCAAGTGTTGTCTTCATTACCAAGAGTAGATGTATGAGTGATACATGCAATACAATTTCAGCGATTAACGGATTATAGATAGAGTTAACGCTAGATAATAGTCCTTTCTTTCAGAAAAGGGAATTAAAAGTAGATTCTTTGACTTTGATCAAATGGTATTCCATCTTGTAATTGAGCAATCGAAGCAGATTGAATGTCAATAACAAAGTTCTAGTTCGAAATTTTACAATATCTAAGTAAATAGACGGTAGAAATCGTATGCTTTGTGACGCGCACAAAAATTCTGAGCTTATTCTTTCGATATACGTGTAAGTTGTTGGATATTGTTTTCTTTTTTACAAGAAGTATTTCTTTTTAAATAGTTATCAAAGATAAGAACAACTTATAAAACAAGGCGAAATAAAAAAGAATTTTTTTAAGTTTGATTCATAAAACATGAGATAAAAATTCACTATGTTATCTTATTTGTCATTTTGCTTAAGATGCACTGAATTTTCAATTGTACAGATGACCCTAACCAACAGGATAAAAGCTGCTCTGTCACATCACTGTTGTTGAATTACCAAATGGTGAATATTAGAAACGACAATTTCATTCAACATCTAATCTCTCATGTACGAACAACATGGTATCGTAGATGACTTTTAAAAAGCTTTCGTTAACATACCAAGACAGAAGTACATTGTCTGTTCAATGGAAAGATACTTTATTGCTTCAAAACATGCATTTAGTGTATGAATTTTCTATCAAGAAACGTGCCAAATCAACATTGCATTATCTCGTCATTGCTATTCGAAACAAATGCAATACGAAACAATTCTATTTTGCCTTCCATAAATGACATGATGATATTAGTTGGAGTGAAATTTTTGTAGTCAATGAAATTGAGCATAATTACACTATATAATACCAGCAATTGCAGCTATTTTGTTTATATCTGGCCACTTTCTTTTTCAAAATGTTTCAGTTTTATGATGATGAGGGTGAGAAAATTCTTTCATTTCGCAATATAGACTGAATAGCTTTCGCTTTGCGAATAACAAAAGAATACCATTTCAAATTCACTTGCGAGAAGAGACTCATAATGACTCACTTTATCAATGTGATATGATAAGAAAAACACAATGAGAATATCTAGCATGTTGAATTCAATCCAGTTCTATTGAACAAGATGAAACGTCAATATTTGTAGTTTATACTTCTTAGTGATAAAATAAAGCTAAATATTAGGCTAGCTGTTTGTAATCGTTCACATAGTCGTATTGACAAGAATCATATGTATCACTGAGCCTCTTCGTGATATACAAAGAGAATAGATATCGATTACAGAGTGAAAGGAATATGAACTTGTTATTTTCAATTTCACATTTGATCATTCTCAACATAAAGGATATTCAGCAGTTGAGACGTTCATTCTCTCATTTGACCAAAGCAGAAGTCAATGGTTTTTCTAGCTGATTTTGTCTCATAAACGAATTAATACATCGAACAAATTGCTATTGTTCAATTAGAAATATCTTCTTCTCAGCTTGTGTTGTCGATGTATCTTGACAATAGATTGATTCCATGTTTCAAATGAACTTTTCGTGTTTTCTTAAGTCAGGCCTACAAAACTTATTTGAAGTGCATACATATCGATGTCTTCCGAAGAAATACTCAAATGTCTTTGAATTTTAACTGATCATTGGACGGTAACTACTCTTTAATTCAATCGGTGTGCCCTTCATGGTTGTCCTAGTGAATAGTTATTGGTGANTACAATCTGCATAACCGTTTCAAATGGAATTTCTACTAATCTGAGAGAAATGTAGCAGAGTTTTGGAAAAGTAAAGTGGAAATATGGATCTTTGTTCTCATCGAAGAGAGTAATATCTAGAGAACGAACGTTGGATAGAATGGGAAGCATGCATGATAATTCATGCCAGGTCATAGATGAGCATGTATCCAGACGCAAATATTCAATGGTCGACGGCGTTCGCAATATACTGCGTTCTAGTATTTTTTCTTCGTATTCATTCGCATGAATCGACAAACGATTCAAAAAGAATAGAGATGTAATACCTTCCAATAGAGCGTACAAATAACGAATACCAGGCACAACCAAGACTAATTCCTCAAGTTTCATATTGGCGAATGATATCTTTTGAAGCATACAACCAATCCATGTGGACTGTCCACGAAGTTTTAGTGAACGAACTTTTGAACATTCTTCAGTAATGTCGAGGTAAAAATATTGGTGCAATTTAAGAGAGACAATTCGATCGAGCGGGAGCTTTTATGGGAGATTTTTAACATGAGCATCAATAACGAGTCGCTGTAAGCGCAAATGATGACTCTCATCAAATAAAACTTCGTCTGCAGCAACAGTTATATTCACGAGACTATAAAATAATTCTATAGGATCCAAATATTCGAATATTTGTTGCCAAATATCTGGACACAGTTCCGCAAGTGTTGTCTTCATTACCTAAAATTGATGTATAAACGAAACACACAGTATAACAACCTGAGTAATGAATAGATATTAGGTAATGGTTAAAATTAGCGAATTCATTGAATTTGATTGATTAATATTTTATCTTTTTTCCTTTGTCTTTTGCAAAATTATGTAAGTAGTTAATCGATAGAAACGGATTGAATATATAGAACAAAAATATGGTGAAAAATTTACAATATCTAAGTGAATATATATAGTACTTGTCTTATGCGTCTTAGTAGATATAAAAAGGTTTTGAGCTTAATCTTCTTCTACTTTTGCAATCGATATTTATATCTCGTGTATTCGGCATTTTTTTCTTTTCAAGGAGGATAAAGGCAACAAATGCAGATTGATATGAAAATATTTCTTTTAAGATAGGCATCAAAGATTTCAACGATTCAAATAACAAGATGGAAGTTTTTAAAAACTTGTGAGCTTAATTAATAACTTAGAACAAAAAACGTCTACTATTTCGTCAACGTCTTTTCTATGTTAATTTTCATGTACTGAGGCTATATATACATAACATGCGTCAAGAGGATAGAAACTGTTTTATCAGAGTGATATGATTTAGTTCTAAAAATGGTGATCTAAGAAACGACAGTTCTCTTCAAAAGTTTCTCGTATCTAAGAACAATCTATAGCAGTGTAGATGACTTTCAGTAAACGTTAAATTAATATGTAAAATCGTATGAACGTTATCTTCATAATTAACAGATGTCCTATTGGCTCAATATATATATTGACGTCGAACACCTTCAATTCAGAAACAATGCATCCAAATAATGTTGATTTTTCACCTTCGTTTATTAGATTTTCCGCATTTATCATACTCAATAACTGTGGTGCAAAAGTACTACTAAAAAGACCAAGAATATATAGACCGAGTTGTGCACAAAGAACATCTTCCTTCAATATTCGAGAAGGTACATATTCTTCATACTGCAACTTATTTTTAAAACTTCACATTCTTTGAGATTTAAAATTGAACATGTTGGTAAGATTGATATAATGAATACGTACTTTTGTCGAGCAGAAAGAGATCTCAAGAGATTGAATAATAATGACGTGTAATGAAGAATTAAAATGAAAATCAATAGAAAATTCTCGTCCTATATCGTATATTAAATTAAACCAATTCTTCAGGAAGATATATTATTAAATCTCAATATGAGATGGAAACAAAGGAGAAAAAACTCGATAATGAAGCAAAAATGATCGAACCAACAATCATTTTGACGAATAAAAGTGTCTTGTATCTTCAACTTGACCTTTTACAATTATATCATCCATGTTTTGGATGACGTTTTTGATATTTTCAAAATTTATATAAAATGAAGGAATTGTCCGATAAATACATCTTATGTATATACAGAATACAGCATTTACTTTCAGCGGAAACAATCGTATCTTTTCGTTTTTTTAATGTTAGTTTAGCGAAATGAGATAAATCAATATCAGGTTACTTCGTCATTGTCATTGAAAAAATAATGAATTGAAACAAATCTTTTCTCATTTTCATAGATCTTACAATAAAATTGATTGAACTAAGCCTTTTGTAACCAGGCAAATATATAAAACGGTCGCATGAAAAATATGCAATATTATTACACTATTTATAAACGATAAAATTGCAATTAATATATTTCTTTCTAACAATTGTCTTTTTCAAGATGTTTTTTTTTTCAACTATGATAACGAAAACTTTCGCTATGAAAATGAGAAATAATCTCATTTAAAATCAGCTCGCTCTGACAGATTGAAACTTAGGTGAACAGATCAGCTTGAAAAACAATTTGTTGAATCGAATTTAGCTTAGTTTAATTAAACAACATGAAGTATTAATTGTTGTACTCGACTTTTCCATACCAATAAAATATAAAGAAACACTATAGATCTTTTCCGTAATCGTTTATTCGGATCATGTCCAATTGACAAAATATTATATCTACCGATGCATATGTTTGCAAGTTATATAATCAAAGAAAATCTGTATAAGAATAAAAGAATTTTAAACTTTTTATCTTAAATACAGTGATGCGCAAAAAAAAGTTGCCGATAGACTTCTTCAAGTTCTTCTCAAAGAAATATCAGATGTAAGGACTATTTAATGTTGTTATGTTACCCGGATAGTGTGCTATATAAATCCATGTATTATCAAAACTTTCACATTCTCTATGAATTCAGAGAGGGTAATAATTCCGTCTTTTTCGAAGAAGCAAAAAAGCTTACAAATTAGGGGTACATTTAGTTTCCGTTTTTGCATTAGAATCTTCTTGATTCCTCTATGCCTTGAAGTTTCTCATTCATATCAATTGATTAATCGACATAGAAGATGGATTCCACTAGATTCAGACCCGCGCTGTAATATAGCTGAACATTGATTTTGCCTATTTTAGAGTGGTGAATGATATTGTTAGCCCTGTTGTAACACAGAGCTGTACTGCCCTACTCTGAATTTTTTTCCATAAATAGTGTGAATAAAGATCATCATTGTACAATAGTTTCAAACTTCTTCTCGGTGATCATTACTTCGAATGTGTAATATGATTTATCGATCGAATCAGACACATGTAAAGAGTGAGTCATAAGCTATTTTTATGCCAATACATAACAGTTGTAGATCAATTGTGCTCTCACTGAATACATCAAGGTAGTACCTAACACTTGCACATAACTCGAGAATAATCGCTCAAAGGATATACAAAATAACCTTGGAGAAAATCCATTTTCTAAACGGTAATTTTTTTTGCACACCACTGTATATATATATATATGTTTCATTTTAACAATAGTGCATTTTAAAATATTTATCGTAAGAAACATTAATTTCACAAAAGATATTGTGTCATTGCTGAATAACGATGGAAACAACGAAACATGAAACGATGATAATAAATGTGAGTATATTTATTAATTTTATAAATCGTAGAAAATATGATTTATAAATTACTATATTATAGTCGAATCATTCTTATCTTTACTATGATCCAAGTTCAGTTTCAAATTTTAATCGGTTTCGTGTGAATCATACACATTTTGATTTCAATGTCAATTTTGATTCTTGCATTTTAAATGGTTATGTTCAGCTGGATGTTGTTCGTCTTGATCCAGAACAATGTGAATATTCATCTACTATAAAAAACAGCGAAAGCAATGAAATACCCCATAATCTTGATGGGAAACTTATTCTTGATGCTCGTCAATTAAATGTAGAAAAAGTCGTACATGAAACAACATTACTTCCATTTAAAATCAATACTGAATATAATTCATTAATTATTGATATAGAACAAATTCCAAAGGATATTATTTCTATTTCTATTCTTATTTATTATTCAACATTATCTGATCAATCAAAAGCATTGCAATGGATGACAAAAGAACAAACAGCTGATCGACAATATCCATTCATGTACAGTCAGTGTCAGGCAATTCATGCACGATCATTATATCCTTGTCAAGATACACCAGGTGTAAAAAGTACATATACAGCTAAGATTACTTGTCCGAATCCATTAATAACGGTAAGTTTGATATACTATCATTCTTTTTAATAATATTTGATGAATTGAGTTAATGAGTGCAATTCAAAGTAAACATGATGTAGATACGAATACATTTTATTTTGAACAAATAGTTGCTGTTCCATCTTATCTGATTGCAATTGCTGTTGGTCATTTAGTTTCGTATGATTTAAGTGATCGTATACGAGTATGGAGTGAACCAAGTTATCGTGAACGATGTAAATATGAATTTGAAGAGACTGAACATGTTTTGTCTGCTGCTGAACAACTTCTTGGTGAATATCAATGGAAACGATATGATTTTCTTGTTCTACCACCGTCATTTCCATGTACGTTGAACGAAACAGTTTTTTTACAAGTGAAATTCTCGTTCTGTTTAGATACTGGCATGGAAAATCCATGCATGAATTTTATTTCACCAGCGACGTTAGTCGGTGATCGATCATTGACAAGTGTAATTGTACATGAATTAACTCATTCATGGACTGGTAATTTGGTGACAAACGAAAATTGGGAACATTTTTGGTTAAATGAAGGTTTTACGTCATTTATTGAAGCTAAATTAGTAGGAATTTTAGCTAAAGATAATGGAGAAGCTCGGCGTTTTCACTCTGCTCAACGATGGGAAGGGTTAGAATCAGATATAATCGATTTTGGCTCAACTAATCCATATACATGTCTAGTTTATCGTCTGAATAATGTCGATCCTGATGATGCTTCTAATACTAGTAGAATTTACTTTCGTCTTCTTTAATATCTTTCTATTTAAAACTTTTTAGCACAATATTATAAAGGTGCAGAACTTCTCTGGTTTCTGGAACATGATATTATTTGCTCAGAAATTGATTTTGATCAATTTCTTCGTTCATATATTAAAAAATTTAGTCATCGAGTTCTGAATACAGATGATTTTATTCAATATTTCGAATCATATTTTCCCCAGGTAAGTAAAGTAGACTGGAATATATGGTTATACACACCTGGAATGCCTCCAATTCATATTGATTTTTCAACTGAACTCGAACGACAATGTCGTCAATTAGCTAATCAACCTTCATTGATTTCTAATGATCAAATGAAGTTACTCAATGCTAATCAGATTGCTTATCTATTCAATCTACTTCTCAATCAAAAACCATCGACAATCACTTATGATATAATCAAACAAATTGATGAAAATTGTCAGATGAATAAATATTCTAATGGTGATATATGTTATCAATGGTATCAATTGTGTATTCGAGTGAAATATTGTGAGTCTCGACTTCGGGGATGCGAACAAATCGTCGTAATACCCACAACAAAAATGGAAATATCACCTATCACCTACCGTATATCGATGTGATGAAGAGAAATCAGTGGTGATCCGATGTCGGTTTATTTCGGGAGGAAAAACGAAGACATCAAAATAGAGGAAAAATCGACAACAACGAAACAAAGAAAACCACACTCTATATGACGGAAATGATAGCGTCTAGACGAAGAGAAATCTAACGACGCAATAAAGAAAAAAAAGAAAAAAAGGTCATCATGAGTACATCATGATGGACAATCCACCATACATATATCACAGAAACGAAAAGGAAAACAAAGAAAAACATATATCCTAGTTAGTGTCATCGAACGATGACGCTAACATGAATGAACGATAATAGGTTACATTTCGGCATTTGGCAAACGTTGCTGTCGATATCAAAACAAATTTCATTAACAGCACCAAAATCTCCCGGATGTTGATCAGTAATAACCGGATGCGAACCGCGAGTATTTGATCATTGGAACAAATAGATCAGAAGATAGCTGATTGTGAATGAGAGAATTTAATCGTATGATATTGTTCCTCTCGGACAAGTTGATAGCAATACAGGGGGTCCCAAAAGTAAGGAAAAATGATTTTCTTTTTTTTTTTTGTTTTTTATATAATAGATTGTCGGTTAAGTCTGATATTTACACTACATATAGTAAGTATGATATATAAAAGATCAGGCATGTGAACGATACTTAGATATAGGATATGTTCGTCACTTTCTTGACAAGACATATCCTGACAGTTGGATTGTGGTCGACGTGGATGGATTGACTGGCCTCCGCGATCACCAGACCTCACACCAACTGACTTTTTTCTATGGAGTGTGCTCAAAGAGCGTGTATACGCTACGAAATCTAAAAATCTTCAAGCACTACAGGATGCTATAATCACTGAAATTCAAAGTTTACCAGTAAAAATTTGTCAAAGCGCTTGCCACTCAGTATCGAAGAGGCTTCAACTTCGCAAAGACTTGAATGGTGAACATATTGAACAGTTTTTGTAATAAGTTTTATAACAAGAACACTACAAGGATAAACTTTCGTACATGTTTTGTTTTCTAAGTCAGAACTTCTAATAAAAGTTTTGTTGAAATTCACGAGTTTTCTTTGTTGTTACTCACTCTGTATCTGTATGTTCTAGGATAAATTACTATATCTAAGTATCGTTCACATGCCTGATCTTTTACTTATCACACTTACTATGTGTGGTATAAATATCAGACTTAAACGACAATCTATTATATAAAAAACAAAAAAAAAAGAAAATCACTTTTCTTTACTTTTGGCACACCCTGTGCGTTTAGAATATTATTTGTATAGGCCATGTTTTTCTAGTTAATAAGATCGAATTGCACTGACGGGTATGTCACTTTACGACCTCTTTCCGCTGAATCCCTAGTAAAAGAGCTGACGTTTTGCATCGTACAAAGCAAAAATGATATTAAGCTCATATCACTTCTTCTGATTTTTTCCATTAGAAATATCATAGTGTAAGATGTATTAAATCTTTTAGTGTAAGCTCCTATGCTACATCTTCGTACATATCACATCCATGAATACCGCTCATCCCACCACCTTCCAGAACAGACAAAGAAAAGTATCCTTTTTGGAAAGAGGAAAAAAGTAGCCGAAGCCCGGTGAATAAGAAGAAACTAACCTCGGAATCGTGATCCTCGACCTCGATTACCTTTCAGCAATTATTTCCTGTTGACCATCATTAAGTATTCATTCATTTATAAAATGCTGCAATCTGATTGGATTATGCAAACAAACAAACAAACTTTTTGCATTTCAACGACCAGATTTATGACGCTATAACCCTTTCTTTCAGATAAGGGAATAGTGTTTTCGAGAAAAATAAAGCTTTATGTATTGAGAAATTGTTTTCATTGGTATTAATGTCTTGGCGAGTATCGTTCGTTTCTGCTGTTGCAAGTACGATTGTACTTCTTTTCTTAGTTGAAAGGGCATCAGTACTCAAATTAATTTTTGTCTATGTTTACTTACCTTTGCAATAGTACATCAATTAAGGAAAGGTATGGATGAATACATAATCTATACGCAGGCTTAACATGAGAAGAAAATACGACTCATAAAATCTTATGAAAGGGAGAAAAAAAGACGCAATTAGTTGATCACAAAGGAAAGAGAAAAGATACAGACCTTCTTGCGTGATAACGAGAAAAGCAAAACTATGTACGTAGATATATCCGCGACAGCAGTCGCTCAATATCAGTATATAAACAGTAAAACTAATTCACGCATAATCACATTTTATTTCGAATAAAATATGGATATCTACCAATCAATTCAGTTTCTCTTTATTGTTATCTTTTATTATTCTATTGGTGTGAATACAATTTCATCTTTATCCGGCAAACAAAGTATCACTCTTTCCCAGACCAACCTGACCAATTTAGCCGATAATTCTTTATTCACTACATGGAGACCAGTTTATCATTTTGCTTCGCCAAATTCCTGGATGAATGATCCTTNACAAATCCTTCTGTCTGTGTGAGACCATTTAGTTTAAGTTTCGTGAGAGAAGGCGTCGTTTTTACAATCTGCATAACCGTTTGAAATGGAATTTCTACTAATCTGAGAGAAATGTAGCAGAGTTTTGGAAAAGTAAAGTGGAAATATGGATCTTTGTTCTCATCGAAGAGAGTAATATCTAGAGAACGAACGTTGGATAGAATGGGAAGCATGCATGATAAGTCATGCCAGGTCATAGATGAGCATGTATCCAGACGCAAATATTCAATGGTCGACGGTGTTCGCAATATGCTGCGTTCTAGTATTTTTTCTTCGTATTCATTCGCATGAATCGACAAACGATTCAAAAAGAATAGAGATGTAACACCTTCCAATAGAGCATACAAATAACGAATACCAGGCACAACCAAGACTAATTCCTCAAGTTTCATATTGGCGAATGATATCTTTTGAAGCATACAACAAATCCATATGGGCTGTCCACGAAGTTTTAGTGAACGAACATTTAAACATTCTTCAGTTATGTCGAGATAAAAATCTTGGCGCAATTCGAGGGAGACTATTCGATCGAGTGGAAGCTTTTCTGGAAGATTTTTAACATAAGAATCAATAACGAGACGCTGTAAGCGCAAATGATGATTCTCATTAAATAAAACTTCGTCTGCAGCAACAGTTACATTCACGAGACTATAAAATAATTCTATAGGATCGAAATATTCGAATATTTGTTGCCAAATATCTGGACATAGTTCCGCAAGTGTTGTCTTCATTACCTAAAATTGATGTATAAACGAAACGCACAGTACAACCTGAGTAATGAATGGATATTAGGTAATGGTTAAAATTAGCGAATTCATTGAATTTGATTGATTAATATTTTATCTTTTTTTCTTTGTCTTTTGCAAAATTATGTAAGTAGTTAATCGATAGAAACGGATTGAATATATAGAACAAAAATATGGTGAAAAATTTACAATATCTAAGTGAATATATGGTACTTGTCTTATGCTTCTTAGTAGATATAAAAAAGTTTTGAGCTTATTCTTCTTCCACTTTTGCAATCGATATTTATATCTCGTGTATTGGGCATTTTTTTTCTTTTCAAGGAGGATAAAGGCAGCAAATGCAGATTGATATGAAAATATTTCTTTTAAGATAGGTATCAAAGATCTCAACGATTCAAATAACAAGATGGAAGTTTTTAAAAACTTGTGAGCTTAATTAATAACTTAGAACAAAAAAAAAAGTCTACTATTTCGTCAACGTCTTTTCTATGTTACTTTTCATGTACTGAGGCTATATATGCATAACATGCGTCAAGAGGATAGAAACTGTTTTATCAGAGTGATATGATTTAGTTATAAAAATGGTGATCTAAGAAACGACATTTCTCTTCAAAAGTTTCTCGTATCTAAGAACAATCTATAGCAGTGTAGATGACTTCCAGTAAACGTTAAATTAATATGTAAAGTCGTATGAACGTTATCTTCATAATTAAAAGATGTCCTATTGGCTCAATATATATATCGACGCCGAAAACCTTCAATTCAGAAACAATGCATCCACATAATGTTGATTTTTCACCTTCGTTGATTAGATTTTCCGCATTTATCATACTCAATAACTGTAGTGCAAAAGTGCTGCTAAAAAGACCAAGAATATATAGACCGAGTTGCCCATCGTGTCCAAAAAGGGAGAAATCGCGTATGAAAACACGTGAAAAGGGTCGATGAAAAATGCAACAAAATCGATGACATATTTCACTAATGAAAATTTATGAATTCAACGACACATCGAAATTCACCAAGTTTTTCGAATACCACATATTCATCCATTCCGATGAATATCTCCAAAGCATCAATGACGCATCACATCGCTATTCATCGATGATTGTCTATATCTATATTGCAAGAGAATATTCGTGTTTCATAAATCTCATCGCTCGTGTGCATCACAGTCTCTGGTATACAGACACTAAAGAAGATCATAATTATCGGTATTATGATCTTTTTCAGTAAATGAAATGCGTATAAACGATGGAATATAGGAAAGGGGAATATTTTCCTTATAAGATCCTGATTTATTAAAATACTTATTTACTATGCTATTTACCTCTCCAACTAATTAAACGTTCACATACCAAGCTTCAAACGTATGTAGGAAACCATTTGGTAACTGCACATTACAAATTTGGAAAACTTACCAGTCACATTGAATCCTTGTATAACGGTGGAACTAACTTCCCGAACGAAATTGGCTGAGAGACTTGAAGCGATTCTCTTCAAGAAAATCTCTTGCATAGTTCTAAATGGAAAAAGGAGACTTTTAAATGTTAGATTCATCTCAGAGAAAGAGGATATGCTTACATGTTAGATTCTATGTGCAATCTATGTTGAACGCTTCGTGGTCATCTTCAGAGCAGTTGAGCATTATTACGAAACACGAAATAGGTTCAGGAGTGATGAAAAGGCAAAAGATGTTGCCTGTGAAATTGAAGTATCAGCCTAAAATCAACTATGAAATAGCAGTTGAACAGATATTGCGAACGAATTGATGCTAGAGGGACGTCAACTAGAAAGCACCGTTCGAGTTCACTAACTAGAAAGCTTCATGGTCAAACTTTATTCAAATTAATTTGGTCATACTTCAATGACAGCTTTTCCAGTTTTTTCCAAATCGCTCTCGTATAGATGTGACAAGTGAAGACTAGCGCTATCTATCTATCTGTATATATATATATATATATATATATATATATATATATATTTATAGATCGTGGATCTAGTCGTTTCGTGAAGGCATATCTAACATGAATATCCAATTGAATTGTGCCGGCTATCTTGTACAACGAGAAAGAACGGGTGAATGCACAAGGACCTATTCAACACTTTGTTTACTTTCAAAAGGTGTCCTGCTAGGCGTCTTGAATGTTGGAAGGAATTCATCATATAAAAACGATAGTAAACGTATACGACGAGCTATTCTAGATTGTTTCTTCTCATCATCCGACATGCGCACAAGACACACTGCATCAGCGGTTGGAAACAATAAGACGGCATCGAACGCCACTCACGTGCTCATACAAACCAACGAAGACTTAGTGCTTGGCACTCTGAGCCAGGTGGAACATCATGGGAAAGAGAATCTTAATATAGGTGTGACTACGACTCTCATTAATGGTCGAAAACGCACCCGTGGTACGGTTATTTGTCTTGGTAAGTCAATTGTTTAACTCGCCGTGAACATGGAATCGAAGGTTGGACATAGAAGGAATCTTAGATGGAAGCATGCCCAAATGTATGAGTTCTTAATTTACCTCGTTTAGGAACTGCGGCGCAATGTGAACAAACTCGAAAAACGATTTCACATTCTTTCTCAAACAGTGCAACTAAGCCGGTCATACCATCAGGATCTGTCTGCGGCAGTCCGGAGAATTCTCGAAGTCTTATCAAACGAAATCAACAGCTACCAAATCGAACAACGACTGCGACAATACCATCTAGCAAATCGAAAGTGGTTCATGATCGACAACAAGATATACGATCGAGGTCACCGTCTAATTCTGCTGAATTGCGAAAGATTCATCGTGCTGCTCTGAAAACACGGACGACAGAGGAACTCGCGGAGAAAGCTGATCTTGACACGTATCAACAGCTTGTCGCCCAGTTATCGACACGAAAAGAGAGCAAAAGACCGAATTTCGAACAGAAGAAACGAGTCTTACCAAAAGCAACACCTCTCAGAAGTATGCTTTGTCATTACTAGCGATTCTCTTGATACACTTTGTTTCGAAGGTCCTGTCACAAGCACTCCGATGGCCGCTGCAGCCTCGTCTGTAACTACGGAAGGAATTGAATCATACAGTGACGAAACAGATGGGGAGGAAGAAGTAGAAGCAGCACAGTTTATCGACGAAGATTACTCTACAAATGAATTGATTCAGGAACAGAGGAAGACAAACAAACGAAAAGGCTTCGAAGAAGAGCAGGTTGTTGAGGCGAAAAGACATTATATCAACAGTCAGTCAATCTTCGATCTAGTAGCCTTTTGTATTTCCTACATTTAGAAAGCTCAAATCAAGGTGTACGAATAGATCTGAACTCAACAGTGAGAACAACGAACATGGTGAAGAAAAGAAAACAGTCAGGACCGACTGTCGCTTCGTTGACTCGTCAAACAGAGATCCTGAAGGACCAATTGGAAGCAAACCAACGTGAAACGTTTGGTCAGTTTTTTCTTTTTTGGTGACTGGCAGATGATTCGTAAAGTTTGAACGCCGAGAACGTTGCTGGTTTGAGAGAGTAGCATGCACGCAATTCTCCTTATGCTCATTAATCAACGTTTAGAGACAGGCTTATCAATAGATGTAGAGATCTGTATATTACCTTGCGCTGGTAATCAGAGAGACTATTATCTAAGCTGTTTTAGCTCTTCCAACTGGCGACGCCGCAGCATTCATTCTGAATCTCGCTGATAAGCTTCGGTCAAAAGGAGCTCATGGTGGTCTGATCGACGCGGAAGAAGCTGAGAGTATTGGTGAGCGGCTTGCTAACATAAGTGATCTGCTTGGTGTCAGTGACGCTGATCTCGAAACTACACGACATCTTACCGATATTACCAAGACGGCTCGGCAAGTGACCAAACTGGTTTATCCCGATGTTGCTGAACGACAGAAGATGAGAATCTCTACCATGGACAAGAAAATTATGCAAGCAATTATAGGTAAAATCTCTCTGCTCCTGTCGAACTATAAGATTCAGTTCTTTGTTCTCCGGCGGAAAACTGAGCTTTTTATGCACGCATAAGGATGGCCATTGCTTTTGGTCTCCATATATATTCCGTGTAGATCTGTAGAAGAAACCGATAATCAATACCTTTACTTTTAGACTATGCTCGAATAAGCCACCCTTTCGCTTCAAATAACGTTGATTTGCGTGGACATATTGGTAACGTATTTGCCTCGGATCGAAAGAAATTGATTGATCGTGGTGAAGCACACTGGCCCACTGATCTGGGTGACGGCAACGCGTTCACTGATGAAGAACTCAACGAGGATAATGAAGACGACGATTAACACGGCCAATAACAAACTTTTTTTATCCAACTGGATTGCACTTAGGTCACTCTTGCTTCGTTCAATTTCGCGTGACAGTAGCTTTTTTTAATCTATGTAAAGAATTATATCCGAATATTTTCTCTATCTAACCTTTCATTTTCTGGATCTGAAAAATAAATATGATTGCTTCACATTCAGATGAAAGGAAAAATGACTACGACGAGAAGGGTTCATCGAACGACCATCTGGCGTCATCGACAAGCGCTCAGATTTCAACCGGTTCGAGGTAAGCAATTCTCGAGCCAGAGATGTCTTTTGATTTAAAAATCTTCTTCCAGTTCCTTTACGAGAGGTCTTCCGGATTCAACAACACCAAGGAGGGTTGGATGCGGCAAATTTGGATTCAGTTAGTCCAATGCTGGACGATGGATCCCCGCATGAAGCAATCTCTCCTATCTTGGACGACGACTTCGCTCAAGTATCCGACGACAGAAGCAGTAGCAGTTCTGAAGACGATTGCGATGAGATCGACGAGCAAATGCGCAATGACGAGGATTTGCTTGATTACTTCTCTCTGTAAGTATTTCTTGATCGAGTGAGATTTTGACGCAGAAAAGAAGAAATGTTTTTCCTTCGTTTCCAGTAGTAACGACTCGTTTTCCAGTAAAGAATATCGCAACTCGTGCTTGACATCTATCGAACTATCTGTCTCTATCATGATATTGAAAACTCGTTACCATTTGTCACACCAATGTATTAATGATATTTTGCGTCTTATACGTATGTGTCATATTGACGCACCGTCCAGCTACAAATCCATGAAGAATATCTTTCGCAAGCGATCTAACACTACTACTCCCGTGTCGACTGTTAGATACATTTGCTCATCATGTCACTTGTCTTCTGCGTCAGCTGTTCTATGCTCGTCGTGCTCCTCACCTATGGTGCTTAGCGCGCCGCCCGTCTATTTCTTCACTTTCGATCTTGCATCTCAGTTACAGCAAATTCTCGACTGCTCAACTGATCTCTGCCTTGTTAATCACGCGAAGAACAGGCCAACGACTCTTCAAGACATTGTTGATGGTGAATTTTATCAGAGACTGTTGATTGCAGAGCGAGGAAACAACTTTCTCACGCTGACCATGAACGTTGATGGTGTCTCTCCGAATCGAAGTTCTAGTCTCAGTATATGGCCAGTCTTCTTAGTGATCAACGAAATTGAAAAAGGCAAACGATTTGCTCTGGAGAATCTTATCGTTGGAGGAATCTGGCCGGGACCGTCTAAGCCCTCTCGTGAACATATGTTTGTGTTTCTCACTGATATCGTTGAGCAACTGAAAGTTCTCGAGAGAGGCCAGGTTTTCCACGTACATTCTTCGTGTGGATCATCTCGCCGAATATCTCTCAAAGTATGCAACGCTTTTAGAAAAGAATGCCATACCCTTTGCTATCTTCAGGTGTTCTTGACCTCATGTTGCTGCGACAAGCCAGCGCAATGTCTTGTTCAACGAATTGCCGAACCGATTGCGAAATTTGGCTGCGGTGCCTGCGAAATCCATGGTAAGTTAGCAGTGCTTGTTTACAGCTGTAGAAAATCGCCTGTCTTATCTACTTTCTCTTCCAGGGATCTACAACTACGAAGGTCGATGCAACACTTTTCCGATGACTGAAGGAGACAGGCTGCGAAAGCGTGACAACAAACGGTATGATGAACTATTACTTGTCTACGAATCCAATGCCAAAGAGCTGGCTGCATTCATCGAGAGAGGTACTCGTGGTCGGAATAAACTCATGAACAAACACAAGTTGTCAGTCAAAGGCATCCAGGGGCCTTGCGTTCTACGGTCTCTGGCCTACTTCGATGTCGGCTCATCATTTCTCGTGGATAGTCTCCATAACGTATATCTTGGAGTGTTTGTGAGTATAGTCTCATTGTTTCTGGCCGAATACCAAAAATCTTCTTCTCTTAGCGTCGTCTGCTTAACATGTGGCTCAGTACAGCATACCAAGATCAACAATGGTCAATTCACGGTCAACTCGACAAACTCGATATGATGTTAACCAATGTTCATTTTCCATCGACAACCACACGTCTTCCTCGATCTCTCGCCAAGTTTAACAAGTACAAGGGAAATGAGTTTCGCTCACTTCTTCTCTTCGGCTATTCTATTTTCAACGGTGTTCTCGGTAGTCAGTACTATTCGCATTTCCTCATATTAGTTCTTATCATGCACATTTCGGAATCCCGCACCATTCAGACTGATTGGATGGACAATTTGCGACATCTTTGCACTCAATTCGTATTGATTTTTCCACGTCTTTATACTGTCCGTCATAACGTACAGGTTGTGCATTCTATCGCGCATATCCACGAAACCGTCAAAAGCTTCGGACCTCTATCGAACTACTCAACGTTCAACTTCGAGAGTCTACTCGGTAGGAAGAAACTCGACATCTATCGGTTCACTAATGGACGTCATTGATTTGCTTTCATCTACGTATATAGGAGTTGTCACACGGACATGCAATAGTACTAGGAAACATTCAATCGAGATCATCAATACAATTACTCAACTAAGAGACCTGTCACAATTCGTCAATACCGTCGATGTACGACCTGAGCTTCACGTCCTCCTTTCATCATGGATCCTTCGACGTCCTTCTCGCATGAGAAGAGAAACTCGTCTGCTTCATCAACTACAAAACCGATCTGTACCGTCAATATCCATCATGTGGAGGAATAAAAGACTAAGCTACTATTCAACAGTTTATATCGGACATGTTCGCGTGACAACAGCTTCCCTTGCTCGTGGAAAACGAAGGAATGACAGTTCGGTCATAGTGAAAGTGAATGGGATCGAACATTTTGCCATCGTGGAAGAGATTTTTTCCGTTGAAGAGGGAGACATTTTTCTGCAAATAAGCTGTCTATCCAAAAATCGATCTTTTACATGCTCAACTGGCAAGACTCGAATTACTTTCGATGGTATTCAAGAGGGGACAATAGAAAATAACTGTGTTGTTCCATTGGAAAACTTTGTGGAAAAGTGCGTCCGAGTCGACCATCCAGTCACGTGTTCAGTAACGTTCATTCGCTTTCCGAGCCTGTGTGATAGCTCATGAGGATGGTTGCTTCGTGACTCTCTTCTCTCCGACATGTGTGTTGAATAAATAAATGTGCTTCTCACTATTTCTATGTATAAACAGGGGATTTGATACAGATGGCATCAGAAAGCCGATGAAAAGTCATGAAAGTCTGGATTGTTTCATCGAAAGACACTAACAACACCATCAGAACGATGAATCTGCATGAAAAGAAACAATGTTTCTTCAATGACTGCGAATAGTATGATTTCATCAATGATTTTGCGTGAAAAGCGTTGAAGAAACACCAGTGAGAACCAGCGTGAACAAAAAATCAACAATCATTGGTGAAAAGGGAGGCAAACCACTGCTGATCGTCGATTTTATCATAAAATCTATGAAAACAGATGAAAGTACAAAATAAATCATGAAAAAAAATTGATGGCAGAATAAAGTTGATGAAAACTAGTAAAAGATGCGCCAGATAATCAGATAATATCACTGATTTCTGAAAATTCATGAAAATCCATGAAAATGTACTCAGATAATCGAGGATCACATATTACTGGAAGGAAAAATGCGTTTTCCTACGTGAAAACACGGGTTCATCTGAAATAACGCATAATTTCAGATGAAAAGCATATTTTTGGACACGATGGGTGTGCACAAAGAACATCTTCCTTCAATATTCGAGAAGGTACATATTCTTCATACTGCAACTTATTTTTGAAACTTCACATTCTTTGAGATTTAAAATTGAACATGTTGGTAAGATTGTTATAATGAATACGTACTTTTGTCGAGCAGAAAGAGATCTCAAGAGATTGAATAATAATGACGTGTAATGAGGAATTAAAATGAAAATCAATAGAAAATTCTCGTCCTATATCGTATATTCAATTAAACCAATTCTTCAGGAAGATATATTATTTAATTTCAATATGAGATGGAAACAAAGGAGAAAAGACTCGATAATAAAGCAAAAATGATCGAACCAACAATCATTTTGGCGAATAAAAGTGTCTAGTATCTTCAACTTGACCTTTTACAATTATATCATCCATGTTTTGGATGACGTTTTTGATATTTTCAAAATTTATATAAAATGAAGGAATTGTCCGATAAATACCTCTTATGTATATACAGAATACAGCATTTACTTTCAGCGGAAAAAATGGTATGTTTTGGTTTTTTTAANCATTTACATTCAATATTCACATGCTTCTTCTTTTCTTTTGTGCAGTTGATCATTATATCATTAGCGTGTCTTTACTTCATAGAGAAATAAATAAATGCAGTTTATATTATATTAGAAAGTAGTTTTCTTAACTGAAACAAAGAAAAACAAATATCAAATTGATAATATATTGTGATATTTTCAGTCGAGGGTAATGCGAGTCACCTCCGACGAGCGTTATTAATTCGAATATGCGTACATTTCCTCAAAAATTCCATAATCTTTGGAATAAGTATTTCTTAGAATCACCAATCAATGATATCTCTCCAATACTAGGCACTTGTAGCGTTAAAAATTTACAGAGACGCCTTACAGAGACGCGTGATTCTTGAATCGTCTTAGCCATAATTCACATTGATCTCTCTATGCAAACTTAACTAGTTAATCTATCAACTCATTCAACTATTACAAGATTATTTAGTCATCATTTAGCCATCTATCTAACTTAGTTGCCCCTGATTATATTATGCTGACTATAAACCTTCTTTTCTTTTCGTTTTTTCGTTCTTTCTTTTATAGCTTCTCCTTCTCTTTTTTCCTATAAATGCAGAGCCCTGAAGAGTGTTTTTTATTTTTTCATACAAATAAATACACGAAACGCGTCGGCGAAGCAAAACATCTGCAATTATATTTCATTAAACATTAATTTAATAGTATACCTATATAAGATCGGTTGCTGAAGAAGCAAAAGTTAAGAGCAGCAAATTGGATTATATCTTAGTTATATAGAATAATTTGTTTTACATTCAGACAAGCTTATTCAGAGTCTTGATATGTAGCTATTAATTAGCTGAAGTGATCATCAAATAGTTTAATCGGTAAAATAGCCGACCGGTTATCGGAAGATGTGGGTTTGAGTCCTACTTTGATTTCATGATCTTCTTTAACAAATTGTTCGTATTTGTTAAAACATATCTCCGTGGTTTCCTTTGAATAACTTGACATCGATACAGTCGTGGGCAAATGGAATGATTTCTAATTATTGACTCTTTTATACCTATTTTCAAACTCACCCACGCCCTCACACACACCCAGAAGATCAAACTAGTCATGGCAGCTCTACTCACCCCTCAAGAATTAATGATATCAAATCAGAATTTAGATTTTTTGCCATTTGATAACGAACTTTGATAGGTTCGAAACCGGTCATCGGAGAAATATCTCACCCTCGATTGCTCAAAAGCAAGAGTTGAAATCAGCACAGTAATCTGTTTCGTATTGACTCACCCTCGACTATTTCGACGCACGGAAAGGGACAAAACTTTACTCAAAGCAATCTCAATGTATAAAATATCCCCCGTCGCCCGACATATGTTAAGCATCATTTATTTCTTCAAAACCAGAAAAAAGGTTCTTCTTGCTAAAACTTTTCCCCACAGCTTATAGTACGGATCATCAGCGAAAAGTGTCATCTATTCGAAAGTGTTCCTGAAACTATCATTCACAAAAATGCCCCATCTCCACTTAGCACTGTACGTTAACCCCGACACCGCTTGCACCAGCGTTAGCGGTGACTGTATCGGGTTTGTAATCATTATTGACATCGACGACTGCTACTGAGTATGGGCTGGTGCCAGTTGTATAAGTAGTTTGAGCAGAAAATGTCCCCGTACCTGTATTAAGAAGAACGCTGACAGTATTTGCACCAGAGTTAGCGGTGACTATATCGGGTTTGGTGTCATTATTGACATCGACGACTGCCACTGATCGTGGTTGAGTGCCAGTTGCATAAGTAGTTTGAGCAGAAAATGTCCCATTGCCTCTATTAAAAAGAACACTGACAGTATTTGCACCAGAGTTAGCGGTGACTATATCGGGTTTGTTGTCATTATTGACATCGACGACTGCTACTGAAAATGGACTGCTGCCAGTAGTATAAGTAGTTTGAGCAGAAAATGTCCCCGTACCTGTATTAAGAAGAACACTGACAGTATTTGCACCATAGTTAGCGGTGACTATATCGGGATTGTTGTCATTATTGACATCGACGACTGCTACTGAGAATGGATTGGTGCCAGTTGTATAAGTAGTTTGAGCAGAAAATGTCCCTGTACCTGTATTAAGGAGAACACTGACAGTATTTGCAGCATAGTTAGCGGTGACTATATCGGGTTTGTTATCATTATTGACATCGACGACTGCTACTGAGTATGGATTGGTGCCAATTGCATAAGTAGTTTGAGCAGAAAATGTCCCCGTACCTGTATTAAGAAGAACACCGACATTATTTGCACCATAGTTAGCGGTGACTATATCGGGATTGTTATCATTATTGACATCGACGACTGCCACTGAGATTGGAATGTTGCCAGTTGCATAAGTAGTTTGAGCAGAAAATGTCCCAGTACCTGTATTAAGAAGAACACCGACAGTATTTGCATCAGAGTTAGCGGTGACTATATCGGGTTTGTTGTCATTGTTGACATCGACGACTGCCACTGAGTTTGGACCATTGCTAGTTGCATAGGTAAGTGCAGTAACGAACGTGTTGTTGGACACTATAAATGAAAGAATCTTTCTATTAGCGGATAGTATGTAGAAATGAGCATGCTTCGGAGGTGTCTGGTGCGTTTGTGAGTGTTTTATAGTTTTCGTCGTGTCGTCATAGGAGAAAGCTCATTTACATTCAATTATAAAACTAAATGATCGGATAACGTATCAGTAAAGTTAGCTTTTTCTGTCTCTCAGTGCCCTTCAGTTTATGCCATCACTAGTTGAAATAAGAAGGAATCTCAAAAGTCCAATTTGTTTCATCTTTAGTGAACAGCCACTTCTGGCATTCATTAGCATTGGCATGATGTGGAACTGTAATGGGTAGAGTTGTGTCACTGAAACTTAGTTGAACGAAACGCTACAGTCTGTTTCACAGAGGTACACAGCTCGAATTACGGTTTGAGATTGGTTGTAGACTTCGAACTTGGCAAAGATCGACAAGTCAGGAAATCCCCTGCATGAGCGGGATAAAAGTAGAAATGGTTTCGAGATGTAAGACTAAAGCTGGGATGTTGTGAAAACGTCCTTTGCTTCTCAGTGCTAATCTCTCACTATAAAATCATCGGCACACTCTCTGCTTCTGTTACGAAATACCATCACGCCGTTATGTAAAATTTTGAAGTTTAGCTGTGGTTGTAAGATTGATAGACTTCATGTAAGAACGAGCAATATGTGATAACAGCTTTGATGACGTTTTTTCTGTACCACTATATCAAAGTCATGTTAATCATCGAATTAAGAATGATTCTAACTATACTCTCAAATAAATGTTCGAAATACAAGAGAAATTCTGAAACCTATCGTGAGACCTATTTACAATTTCATCTTGAATTAAGAAGATTTTCTGAATCTCTTGTAAATAGTCGCGTATGAATGCGAACACATTTTTTTGTCTGTCTTGCGCATCAAAATAAAGTAACAAGACTCCTTCATTAGTTTTAAAAAATTCACTGTTTGATTAGATTGATATTTAGAATGGACCAAATGGTGTTTTTTCGAATAACTATTTGCACGTTATTTTGGACTACTAAGCAACAAGTCAAAACGAATCAGTGCTAGCTCTACCCAGCATAGTTTGGGCGAACTATACGTTACTTATCTGATGTGATGACGATAGAGCAGCGACTATTAGACAGCCAAAGTAGAGCAGACAAAAGGAAATTCATCGACAACTTTGTTGTGCGACCACTATTAGTTAACTCCACAATCTGCTTGTTCGTGAGTTATGAACATCATGACAGATTAATCTTCTACATCCTAACAAAATCTCATCTGCGGATTATGCGCATCTTGCTCACTCCCATTATGATTTTCATGCGCTGCATTCGTCTACAGTCGATATATAATACTCATGAGGTTCATTTGAGAAAGCGGAACACTTTCACAGATACTTAACGAGATAATCATCCGAAATGAGTGGCAGCATATTCCAGTTTGGATCTGTTACATAGATAAGTCCTAGCTGAGTATGAAAAATTGAGAAAAAATATGTTCATGGTTTTTCCTATAAATTTATGTGCGCCTCACTGAAGTTTAAGCTTACAATATTCAACATATCCAAGCATTAAATGACTATACAACAAGAATGAGGTTTATCATCGGATACTTCGCTTTGGTAAAAGTTTCTCTATTTCATGAAACGTAAAATAGGCTAATGTTTAGTTTAAAAGTCTGATTTTGAAGACATTCGAATTACCATTAGAAATATACGGACATATCTGAAAAAGACAATAATGCTCTGATTTTCTATACTATTTGATATTACTTCAGTTCATATCGAAATAATAGAATCTGGATACGATCTGTTGTTTGATCTTATGTAACATTTATTCTAAGATCTATTTAGAATCTATTTAATCAAATATTTTGTCAATAACTTTGGAGTGAAATAAGACGGATAGCTTCAACTATTACGATTAGAAAGCAATGAGGGACAGCCACAGACTGAGTTATTATATATTTTTCTAGACGTTATTTACTATTACTTCAATAATTGTTTCCAATATTTAAAAAAAATTTCTTGTTATATAAACTATCAACAGAAAGATTACTTTTGACCTTACCTACGGTATCTATGACTTGTGAATAACTGGTAACATATATGTAAATTTTCCAAGGTTTTATCGGTTTTATAGAAGTGATTTGAATACAGACACGGCCACTGAGATTTCATTGCAAATACTTCACAGAATAAATTGGTTTTGAAAGGGAACAAATGGAATCTTCATTTCTACTATCCATCGATGAGTACTATGTTATCGTATCTTATTTGTATCATAGATTACTGACCAAATCCCCACGCACTGGATATTAGTACTAGTATTACGCCATAAATGTCACTAAGACCTCTACTGAATATCAATCTCTATCGTCACCATTCGATGTATATGTGCACAACAAGTAATTCATTCAGGATTTTTTCCCATATCACACAACTTAGGTTAAATTTCATGAAAAAATAATACACAGTATATGTTGTTTACACAGAAGTATTTTATGCGAACATTATGGAAACCTCAGTTTACACATACTATTGCAAAGTGTCATGCTCACGAGATTTGTCTTGTGTATAGTTTTTCGACAATTCTTCTTCCGGCGTAGAAAATAGAAAAGCTAGTGATAACCATCAGTTAAGCTATCTTCGATACCCTCTTTAAAGATTGTCGAATGTCGTCAAGATATCCACGATTTTCTCATTTTTGCAATACAGTTGAATGCCTGCACTGACAACGCGCAACTTTAATTCTAGAACTGATGCTAGTTCAGATTGTATTTGAAATAGACTTGAAGTGAAATTTATAACTAGAGTTGCTCATTGCTGATATGTAAAACAGAATATTGTTGCTGTGACAGATGCAAAACTTTCAAGTACGTGCCTTTCTACATTTCATGCTGTTTCTTAATCCGAGAATATCGTATGAATCGCTATTAAACGAAGCCATAAAATCGCATCTACGAAAGTCGCTATTTTCTGCAGTAAGCATAGTCAAATTGATTGTAAAATGAGGAAACAATCATAGACGTAATAGCAAAATGCTGTAACTCCAGAGATATTTGGCCGTGGTAGTCAAGGTTATTATGAATTTTTCTCTTAATAACTGATATAAGATATGTTAAAACATTATCAGAGTGAGCCTTCTGTTAGTCTAAATCTTACTAGAGATCACCGCAACCGAAAATTAAGGAGATCGTGTATCACTCAACTTTTCTTGTCACTCAGTAGTTTTGACTGCAGTATGTGCATAATGAGAGTCCAGAATCTTTATTTCTGTGATTAGTTCCTCCTCAAGTTGTTCGAAGCTTACTTCGACTTTTTACGGATTAATCAGTATTTCTGTGCACAAAAAATACATTTTTATCGTTTTTAGCGATGGAAATGCGTGAAGATAGGGTAAAATACTGTTTCTATGCTATGACAATCTTAAAAACAACATCATGCAAATATCGAAAATAAATTTTGTTCCCCAGAAAAAGTTGTAAATTAATATTTATAGAAAAATTTGAAAGCATCAGAAGAACTCTGAGAAATTTCGTACGTAGGATGATGCAAAAGACCCAGAACTTCTATTGTGTAAAGAACTTATGATAACTTATTGTGCAGCGCATAGAAAACGATTATGATTTCGTTTGTTACGTACTACAAACTGGTGCATTTGTTGGTATCGAGGTCGTTGAGACCGAACTAGTTGATGTTGAGCTTGATGTTGTCGACGTTGAGCTCGTTGTAGTTGATGTTGAACTAGTTGATGTTGAGCTTGATGTTGTCGACGTTGAGCTCGTTGTAGTTGATGTTGAACTAGTTGATGCTGAGCTTGATGTTGTTGTGGTTGGTTCTTTTTTGTGTGAAAAAAAAATATTAAAATGAGAAGGAAGAATTCAGTAAGGCATAGTTACAAATTGGTATTGTTTATTTGGACACTATGAATATCTCTCACTTTTGATGAATAATGCCACCTTCTCATGTTTACCTCGGTGTCTTCTACGCCTGTTTTTCTGCAAGAATATGGGTGTAAGGCAAGGTAACGACAACACCTACCGATCCGCACACTACACTTACAGTATAAACTGTGGAAGTCATTTTCTTGCGGGTGGAAATAGTTGTTTTCATATGTTCTTGGCTTTTAGTATACTCACGAAAAACGTATTATCCTAGTCTATTGAGTGCAATGAAATCTAATTGTCTCGTAAAACGAGAGTAAACAATCTGTACAAGCGTAGTTCTGCTAAAAAGCTAATCAACAAAGACGATTTGGAAATAAATGACACGGGTTTCATCAAGGTCAAAATAGAGATCAAATTGCAATATTCTATCTCTCATTTGTCAACGGACGTAGTGTGACGAGCTAGAGATTTTTTATGCTAATAACCACAAACTCCTATATCTCTTGTAAACTTTTCGCCCGTCAATTTTCCAGATTGTACTCAGCTACACTTTTACATAAACTTTATTGAAGGTTTAACGTGTCTGCAACGCCCTTCATGAGGTGAATTAATCTGTGTGCGATGCGAATATGATGTGTATTATCTATGGTTTATCATAACTATACTAACCTAATGGAATTCGTGTTCCGGAGATGACTATCATTGTTGTGACCTGTATGTTTGCTTGCAAGTTGCTATTTTGATCTGCGGTGTTGTTAAACAATTGACATTTGTAAGTTGTCTCTTGAAAAGTGGCTGCTTTACATTGGGGTTGCTGTAAGCAGTGGATTTGACACTGGAGGATGCTTGGTGCAGTAGTAGTAACGAATGGTAAACAGTTTGAGTTAGCACACTGAAATTCCAATCCGTCCATGGTTGTCATTGTAACGGACTTTATATCTTGCATGAGCGATTGTTCGAAAAGACCAAACAAAAGCAACATTGAAATTCTTATCCAGTCCATAACTATTGCAGTCAAACTTTCACTTGACAACAACAACAATTGTATTTAAAATAAAATGAATAACACTTGCTACTAGTAGATGCCTTTTTTAATCTATTTTTTCTCTCTCTCTCTTCCGTAATAAAAATCTACTTTTTCTCTGCATCAATATTTTTAAGAAAAAAAACATGTCTTCATGCAATATTCATAATGAGAACAGGTGTGCTGGTTTCTTTCAGGCATTCTGAATAAGTCATGCGCTCAAAAAGGGCTGTTGTTGTATAGTGGCTGCACAGATAGTAGGCGAAACTACACATCCATTCTCTTCGTGTTCAACGTTGGAGAAAAAAAAGGAATGAGGCAACACAAAGGAGAATGTGTTATTACAATGAATGTTTGTCTAACGTAGGACATCTTTGCAACAGATTCGACTCTTCCAGGATTTATTCGTTATGATATGCAGTCTAAATCTGTTTTCGTGCGTTCCAAGTCAGAATTCGACGAGTTCTATCGATTCCAAAGAAAAATATTCGTAGATCCACGAAAAAATGTTTTTATCATTGTGTATCTTTATGATACTAGGCTATTAATATTGAAAAAGACGTAATGTACAATGATAAATACCAGACCATATGTAAATACAGTAATACTGAATTAATCAGCATAGCGGGATTCATTATTACACAAAAAGCACGCATGGCGTTATTCAGTTAAACTTCCAACTAATTTTGTGGAACTCACATATATTTTTCGAAGAAAAATAAGTGAGTGTAAGTTTTATACCCAGGAATCATTGGACCCCCACCCCTCCCCTCCCCCCATGAGCCGCAAGCAGCTACTTTAGCTATACAGGTTAGCTGCTACGGGGTCACGGAGTACAAGGGCGACAGGGTTAGCCGTTACGGGACCACAGGGTGCCAGGGTTAACCGCTACGGGGTCATGAAGTACAAGGGGGACAGCGTTAGACGCTACGGGGTCACAGGGTGCAAGGACGACAAGAACTACTCACGCTCAGCCCTACAGGCGCTACACCGGATGCAGGCACTGGCACGATTACTGTAGCCGTATGACCTATAGAAGTATTAGAAATGTAGAGAGTATTAGAGTTATGGAACATAGCAAAATGTTATCAACGTGTTCAAATTTCTATTATTTACCATTCAAGTAAAAATATTCGCATTTCAAATGCAGATTCGTTATTTTTTGCTGTGCTGTTTGGACCTTGCTCGGTATTATTGAAATTCTGCGAGAATGGCCCAACGTGCACTTTACTTAGAAATATCTCGTCTTGTCTGGAATTCTAAATAATTCTCACCGAATATTTCTATATTAAACTAAGGACAGTCAATTGAGTATTTGATTCTTCAATTGAATCAACTCCTTATACCTTTTGTGACTACCAGAAATGCTACCAGCCTGAGAGTGATGATCTTAAAGTGAGCTTACTCCTTAAGTATTTTATTCTAATCCATAATCTCGTTTTCCAAAAGCAAGTATGTGAGTTCCACATTTTAGCCCCAAAGGGGCTGCGCTGACAAGCTTTTTTTGCAAACATTCTGTATTCTTCAAGCAGCACTTACGAAGAGTAGAGCCTCGTCATAAAACAAAAAGCACTTAACTGAAGTATTCTTTGTCATTGTACCGATTTGCTGTTTGAAAAATACATTCATTCACAATCCAAAAAATCGTCCGGCACATTGAAATGAAATGTGTAGTATGGGCAAAAATCTGATCAATATAGATCTATCTTAGTTGATACGAGTTCTTGTTTCTCACATGAGATTAGATGTACTGTGCTTATCAGTATTAAACACGCTGACTGGTCTTATAAAACAACTCAACCAATGCAACTCGAAAATTTAACAAATTAACTAAATGTTTACATTATAAACAATTGATTTCATATATATGAAAGACGATTGAATTTTGTTTTTAAATAACTTTTAATCGGCCATTTTTCATAGTAGATTCAGGTAGTTCATATCTATAATAGTTAGTATCTATAATTTAGAATGAAATTCAATTAAATAATGCAACAATAAGAATCGCTATTGTATTCATAAGAATGTCATATGAATGGAACAATCAATAATAGAATCTAACGTCATAGAACAAGAAGAGCTATATGATTATAAGAAAACTCAAGTACTATACACAATGATACAAATAAATACAATGATGTACAAGGGGAAAAGATTTTGTTAAATCATGAAATTATTGTCCATGTTTTTTCTCAAATTCGATGGTCATTTCTAATAGTTCTTCATCTGACATTTCAGGTATTGCGTGAGCATTCGCACCTGTGCTACTAATCATCACACTTGCACTAATAAACTTGGGCTTATAGGTAGCTTTTGGAACAATATCTTTTATTTGTTTTTTTTTCATCTGAAGAATTTTCTGTCATCGTTTTTTTCGTTTCACTTCCAATTTCAATAGATGCTGATCTCTTAGGTGCACGTTCAATTATTGATACATCTACCTGATATATGTATTTTATTTATATAGACATATCACTCTGTTACAAGATGTTTCTACCTTATTGTCAGCTACAGTATTTGAAAGTTGAGAGAAGATATTCATGTCAGATTCTGAGTCTATCATTAGAAATTAAAAATCGATTTAAATCTTAGAAAAAGTGCCAAATTAAAGAACATTTACTTGATGATTGAGACATCGTACAAATTGATCAAGGAGTATCGTGTTTAAAGAAGTATTCGACAAATCTACAATAAATAAAGCAATATTTTTAGCCTAGTAAATCAAATTACAAGGAAATATTTCAATGTATCTTATAGATATTAGGTGATTAACGTTACTTAAGACTTGAACTAAAACTACGAAGAATATCAACTTGAAATACAGTCCTATTATATACAGATAAGTATATGAAGTATGATACAATATCAGACAATTATGTAATCGTTTCGTATTGTATTTGTATAAATTAATATCCTTCCATAACGATTATCAATAAAAGATACACGAAATCGTGATAAATAATAATAAATTAAATTTTCCAATATTTTTCTATTTGTATTCCAATAATTTTGGACATACGTTGAGCATGAATTTTTCTTGAAGTCGGAATGTGTCAACATTATACATGAAGCCACGATATGTTTCTGTCGTCGAAGTATGAACCTCTCCTTCATCGTCAATGTACTTTTTAGATTCAATACGATAGAATGGAATGTCTTCCTGTTTCATCATTGATTTAAGATCACCATCGAAACCAATAGGTAGCAAAAGATCGAACCCTCTATTACAGTATTTACTTATACGTGTGCAAAGATGTTTTGGACTTTCACCATAAAGATTATAGACAATGAATGATCGTGTTGCAAGCGCTTGTAAAAATGGAAATGTAGAAATAATTTTATCTCCTAAAGAGAATTATTGATGTGTACGAGAATCAAAACGTCCTCAAAGGGGAAACAAATTACCAGTAAATGCAACTTGAGAGATATCTATGTCTAAGTTGTGGAGAATATGTGAAATGGTTAGTTTTGAATGTCTTACAAATCTTGTGCAAAAGTTAAGTCGTACATTGCCAGGTAAAAGCACATTATAACAAAATGATCCTGCTATTTTTTCTATTTTTATCGTGTTTGTTGAATTTTTGGAAATTATCTTTTTTAAACGATCGATCGTACTCTGTACAGTTACTTCAAAATCCGACAGACTGTTTATATAATAGATTAAGTTAATATCTTGGTCTTTGGTATCGTGAAATGGTAATTTACATAGAGAATTCAGAACACATCCACCAACAATGATGAACTTAGAAAAATCAATTGCCTCTAGCCATAAAGCTGATGAGAAGCGAACTGTTAGATTCAGTTTAAATTCTTCAACTGTGTGCACAAATGTCATATTCTGGTATTCATTTCCATTTTCTATCTTAGCAAGCGTTTTCTGAACTAAATTAAATCACTCGAATACATTCTAGATGTTACACTTTTAATTTTAAATATTTTACTTTTAAACAAACTTTTCTCATGACCATTGAGTGTACGTTTCGATCCTACGGTCTGACTATACCATTCGTAATCTAGTAGTGCAAAACCTGCATTGTAGTAGACAGAGTTCCACGATAAAAGACGGGAATAGCATTTGAAAAGAGGCGTTTGATACACTTCACACAATTTCAAAAATCCCTCAAGACTGAAACACGGGTGAATGTATAGACGTTCTGATGGTTGAATAAAAAATGAATAACGTTCGGGAATTACGCAAAAATTTTCCTCGTCAATTTCGCCAACATCTCTATAATAGTGCCATACAATATCTGGTAATCTGATTCTCTGATGGTTACAAAATGTGCTGATTAATATAATAAAACGATGATCGAATACTTCTGCAATTGAACCAAATTGTTCACTGCTATCTACAGCTTCGATAAAATTAATCGCATCTACTCCATCAAGAAATCTTAATAAATTATATGCAACAAATTCACCACATTGAATGATTTTATTTGTAGACATAACCAGATAGTTTACTGTCTATTTCGAAGTTGAAAAAAGTATGTATATTTACCTAGAAACTATCTGAAACAAAATTTATTGTTGCGCTAATCAATGGTGACGCTTTTCTTTGATCAATTATTATTCCGCTTTCTTTCGGTTCTCTTTTACTTTCGTTCGGGATGGTTGATTATTGTTGTTTCATCTTATCTTATCTTTCTTTTCCTTTCGCTTCTGTGGGAATGAACCACTATTGAGCAAGCAAATCGTTCGAACAAATGGGCATTGTTCATCTTTGATGAACATTTTTTCAGTGACGATAGAGACCAAGTTATGCTAAAAAAAGGGTTAAAAAATACACATGAAAAAGAATGTGCATCATTGGTTTAATAATTCTTCGCTTCTGACAATAATTATTTTCATGTCCATTTCTGTATTTATTGTGCCAGATATACTTGAAGCATCGTTTGAGCATGACGATCCTGAAAGGTATAGAATTTTTTATTTTTGAATAAATAAGATGATTAATTTATTTTGTTTTCTTTATAAGTACATGTTTACACAATACAACACTTAGTTTCAATAAAATTTTACATTCTACACGAGAAGTTTTCTATTAAACAATATAGCAAGAATTATCTAATATATCAACATAAAGCTGTACATAATCCATCATATTTTCTCTTTCATATTCAACATAAATTTATATCTCCTTGTAAATAGTCGACAATTTCATCAATGCTATTGCAAGATTTATCCATGAAATGACTAAAAACTTGGTGCGGATGATCACAAATAGTAGGTTGATGGTGATGAATATTGACCGTATCTCTAATTGAAATTGGTGTATTTAGATTCGAATACATATTAACATCTTGTTGAAAATCAAAAATACGTTCATCAAAATCATTAAAAACGTCCATACTATCAGCCTTTTGTTCACCAAGAAAAATTATATCCGGTTGTTCTGTATGATTTAAAATATCCATATCTTCAAACTCTTGTTGATCAAGCAAAATTATATCCGGTTGTTCTGTATGATTTAAAGTATCCATGTTTTCAAACTCTTGTTGATCAAGCAAAATTATTTCTGGTTCTAGTAATGTAACTTCAATAACAATCGATGGAGCTGGTAAAAACGATGAAAGTGGCAATGTTATTGAAATAGGTACATTCATCTACAATTAAAATACATTGAGTCAATTTTCCAAAAACGTTTAGTTAGTATTACATTTTGATTATTGTTAATCGTGATAGTAGTTGACATGACGAAGGTTCAGCTTTATGAAGAAAAATACAGGTTTTTATATTGAATAATCTAAGAAAAAGAGGAAATAATGGTCGAAATTTATTTTTCATGTGAAAGGATAAACTTATATCAAAGAAATTTCTGATAGAATAGCATTACATCTTTCTATTTCTATTTCTATTTCGTTTCAAATTGGACTAACATCGCATTACAAACATATTGTATGAGGCAGACGTTGCGAATATGATATTAGAAAGCAATGAAATTTTCTGCAGCTTACTTTCGTTGAATTGATTTGGGCGGAGAATGAGAATGTTGAACTGATCTGACGCTAGTGAGTTACTCGAATGATATGTGAATGCTGTAGGCAGTCCTTTTTATAGTCGAAAATTGCTATGACTCATGACTTTTAGCGGTGATTCATCAGTCTTGATTACTGTGAGGCAGTTGATATCTCCCGATAGATCTCCTAACCGACCCTTGATGAGTTCCGGTTTTTTTATCTTTATCTTTTTATGTCTAAGGATCAATATCTTAAAGGAAAACTTTATCTGGCACTTGTTTCTCATACTTAGATCCATCCCTCAACCGGATTTCCTGGCAAATTCTTACTGATGTAATCTACGCTCTTCTTTGATGTTCAAGTTTTCACTTTGAAATCAAATTATGTGATATGATTCTCTTCAATCGTAGAAAACTCTCGTAAAATATTTTCAACGGTTATTTTAAATTTTGATGAGATCTATTCGACAATAATTTCTTTTGTTAGAATGGCAGAAGTCAAGAAAGTATTTACGAGTAAAAAATACATCACAAAAATAAATCTACACGAAAAATATAGTCGATCATTCTTTCAATCTCAGTGTTCTATTTTCCGAACACTCTGACATCTTTCTGGTTTCATACATATTCTTTCTTGATGAAAATTACTCACATCTACTTTTCATCACACAGAACTTTTTCATTATACTTCAATTCGCTCTACTCAAATTATTAAAGACTTTCGTTAAAGAAATAAGACAACAGATATCAGTGTTATCTTTTCCGCAGCAACACTAAGAATTAATGGTTTTTTATTTTTATATTTCAAACGAAAACAGCAGCAAATTCTTGCTCCTCATTCGAATCCAGAAGTTGTTTCCTCATATCACCATAGGTAGTTATACGTTTGATAATACAGACACTAATGTCTGTTCTTTCTTGTTTATGTATTCCTCTATTGAGCGTGTTTGATAACCAAGAAAAAAAATGTTCAGTTATGCACTAATAAGCTAACATCCATGTTTAGCAGAACATCAAAATTCCAAGTTACTATATTTTTCGATACCTTGCCAGAAGTTAGTATCCGTTTGAATTTCTTTTGATAATTATATTTTTATGTCAATTCCTCAAATTTCGTCTTTTACATTGTACACGATTAACGATATAAAAAACAGAAATCATGGAAAAAGTCAAAGAGTGATTTTTTAATTGTTAACGAAATAGTACATCGACGTGTTTCATGAAAACCTTCGATCCATCATATTTTCTAATTTATAATCGATATTTGAGAATCGAATGTAAAAATTTCACATTAGATAAAGAATTGCTTTCGTACATTGACTCAATAGAAATTGATTGCACCATTATCTTCAATTATCTCTTCATCTTGAAACATAATGATTTTTAATATCATTTACTTATCTCATTCTCCACAGAATAAATATAAATGAATTAAAAAGACAATTCGGTTTAAATGAAACCTAAAAGAATCTATTGATGAATCTGGATATACAAGGAAACTTTAGTGTTATTATACAATTTAGAAAAACTATTTATACCGAGTGTATTTATAACAAAAAACGTGTATATACATGCCGTAATGAAATGAAATCGATATGTTCTTTCTATGTTGCTATTCGAACAAATCTTCCATTATTGAATTAATAAAATAATCTGTAAATACTGCATTGTATGCTTAGATTTAATTAAACTTTTCATTAAGAAGATCAACCTTATTCAACGCTGTGAAAACATCAAAAATTTGCAAGATATTACTTCCCACTTTTTTCGTTATTATATAGAACTTCCTGGATTTTCTTTTATGAACCACGATTCGGTTAATCTCTTTCTATTTTTAAAAGGAAATATAAAAATTAAAGATCTTTTTTCCAGAAGGAATCATCGTTTTGCATGATCAATTTATATTCTTCGAATAAAACTTTTTCACACGTGATTTTTTTCCTTTTTATTCTTCTCCTCCTTATCTCTCTCTCTCTCTCTCCTTCTCTTTCTCTTTTTGATATCTTTCGTTGCGATGATCGAATATGTTCAGTTGAGAGTTATATTCGATTGAAGAAAGATGTGGATAAGAAAGCCGGAGCTTAATCTTGATAAAAACATTCCCTATTGAAGTTTGACAAGAGAGCAGAGTTTTAACTATAATTATACCCAAAGAGTCAATATCTGTTAGAATAATGAGAAATGTTTTTATTCACATCGATTTTATGAGTATCATTTTCAAAAGTATTAATATTCTGATTCTCTTAGCTATGAATAAGCCTCACTTATATGTTTTTATACAGATTCAGAGCAAAACCATCGTTTTATTTTTAGTATTTACTCGATAAATTGTCTTATATGACATCATTCATTTATTACTGAATGTTAGCGAATAAATCTCTTTTATCAGAAAAGTCACTCAAACTCTAATACAATTTTTCCACGGTAGTATTGATAATCGATCTTACTGACGAAAATATCCTACTGTCGATGTGAAAAATAATGAGTTAAAAAGTTTTTTCAAAAAAAGACATTTCACTTCGAGTTATTTTAGGATTCTTACGTTGCACTTTTCGACTTTTGAGTTAGTTTAGTTTTCGACATGGATGTATAGGGATGATATAGAAATTGATGAATTCTTTCTAACTTACCTTTAGAAATAACTTTTACTATCGATTTATAGATAAGCTTTTATTTTCCAATTGAAAAGAAAGATGGTTGGCAAAAGACAATCAGAAACAAAACCATTAACACGATTAATGTCACACGTTTGTAAAGAAGCTGCCTACATACGGCGATGCTACTATGGATCATCTTGGGAAACGCAGAAAAAAGCTATCAAAAAGAAAACTGTATCTGTATGTAACAACAATAATAAAAAGAAACAATCATCTCGATTCAATAATGAAAGTGAACAAAATGCTCGTAATGATTTAGTTTCAATAGAGAAAGTATGTACATATGAGGTATATATGTGTGCATGTATATATGACACATATATATGCCTCAGTACAACATTTATTTTAATCGATTATTATTGTTTAATTTACCTTGTAATTTGTTGAAGGAAAATATAGCAAACACAAAAAATTATTGGAATGATTTGAACGACGAAACAAGGAATGTACAAAAGTAGAGGTTTTCAAACGAAAACAAAGTTCTTGTATATATTTGTATTTCTGTGGAAATCGTAGTGACAATTTGCAAATATGATGTATCATTATCATTATGTGTTGATATTTTTGTCAATAATTGAATAAAATAAATAAATACGATAGTTTCCGTTAATACTCTCTTTCAAATTGCAATTAAGAAACAGGGAATAATTTAATATCAATTGATTTGAAAGAAACCAGTAGTTTGTTTACAATCAAGTCGCATAAAGAAGTATCTATGTGAAACCGATGCGCATGATACGGAATATTGACACAAAAAGTAGCAAGAATAGATTTCTTTCATTTAAACTACATGGACACAAATGATATAAATAATTCACTAATCGAAAATTGCAATAAGTTCCACCGTGAAATGAGAAAGTATGCACCTATACTCTTTATGTTGACAATAATCTTTCGATCCTTGTGATTCCTCATACTTTCAAAAATCATACTGTACAAACTTGTGATAAAGACCGATGACTTATTATTATTGTATAGCAATTATTCTGTGAGCGACATCACGTCTAACCAACCATTTATCCGCATGCATCTCATTCATTCAATAGAGCAGAAAGACATGAGTTGTGTAAAGTAGAATTGAGTGATCTGAAACATGAATGAACCATGCAAATAAGATGACTAGGTTGTCTGTATCCCGAATAAGATATATATTGAGCGAACGTTTTTACTTTCAATTTTACAATATATCCAAAAGCGAATTAACTTTAAAATTCTGATTCAAACAAACAAAAATAGATTGTGATTTGTCTTCGAACGTATTGTAGCAAAGAGAGAAAATCAATACATATAAGGATATACAAGTTCTGGTAAATGAATGTCGATAATGGCAACTTTCAAGTAATAATATTCGAAATAAATTCTACAATGGAATGATACATCTACCTATGGCATGTATCAATGCATTTCAAACAGAGAACAATCATAATAAAAATATTAAAAAAGAAAAGGAAGAATATATATGAAAGCCATTGTTGATGGTTTTTATATACCGTTTTTTCAAAGTTATACTTGTGAGTAATTATCTCAGTTGTTACCATGTGATATGCACATAGGAACTGATGTTACATGCCACTCAGTACTTTTTATTGGCAATTTATCTGAAAGAGACTACATACAAATTTTTTTTCTCTGATATGTACACCTTTTTAAGGAGAAAAGAAAACAATGATTTATTTTCTCATTTTTGTTCCTTCATCTGTCTATATTAAATGGGACATAAGGCGACCAGTTTATAATGTGATAATTATTGATTGAAATTGATTTATTTTATTCCTGGTTCGAAAACCAATTTGTTCATCAGTAGGTTTACTTGTATTTGCAAACAAAGTAGTTTTTTTTGTATGTCCAAATGATGATACATTACCTTTTTCATATAGAATAAATCAAGTTTTTTCTTTCATACTTTAAAAAAGCAGTAAAGCAAAGGAAAAATAAACTCTTAGTGATATACTTATTACACACAAAATAATTTGAATAATTCACAATAGAATTCTAAGTATTTCGATTAGATATGAACAAGAAGTAAGTTAAAGCAGAAGTTTGTCAAATGAATGTGCTTTTCGTCTAAACAAGAATTTT